CTTCAGACAGTAATTTTGAAAATGCTGTACTTGCATAAGGAATTAGAAAAATACAGTTCCTTGAACACTTAACTGGTTTGCATGTCACATCAGTATTTCAGAATGCAAATTTGCTTATTATTGAAAATCAACCAATTGTTTTAGGAATTCACTAGAAGCAAACACAATTTTTTTCTAAAACCTCTAGTCATAACTCAAAGCCAAATGAACAGGATTGAAATAGGCTTTTAACCCATATGCTGATGAGTTGCTTTTACAGTTTTGGAGCTCTATAGAGGGGATAAATTGTGGTTTGTTATATAGCCTTACGTTTATCTCTTTTGCTCTCACAATCAAAATCCATAATCTTTTAGAGTGCAACCAAGCTTCAATCTCTTTCAACATAACTTAAAGCATTATCAGAGGTAAAATAGGTTCTACTTAATGAGCAATGTCTGAAAGTCTGCATTGGTTTGTAACAGTTTATACTGCTAGGACAGTTCCTAGACAAAATTTGCTTTAAGTCCTCATAATCAGTAGTTAGAGGGCATCACTTAAGGAATAACAATGCAATCAAACTCAGCTTTCTAGCCGTGGAAATAAAGAGTTCTGGGGGTTGATATATGAAGTATTACAAGTCAAACCCACACAAACCTGCTTTCCTTTAACCACAAATTAAGAGAAGTACTGCAGCAGCTGCAGGAATAGCCTCCTCCCTGTTGCAACTACTGCAGTTTTCGTATGCAACATATCAAACATGTCTCCCTGAAGCTTCCCGGCTGCTGCCAAACAAGACTGCTACAGCACCAGAAATCAGTGCAGGAGTGGGTGAGAGGGAATCAATTTTAGATTTACTGAGATAAAAGCCCAGCTACTTCCTGCTTTTGTTTTGTTCTTAAATAAGTAGCTGGGCTTATTTCAGCCAACTCTAATACAAGCCACAGGGAGCAACACACCTATCACCCCTAAGAGAGGTGGTCAAATTAGAAGCTGCTGCTTCTTGTCTTGTTGCTTGCCTGGACAGGAAAGAGGTTTTCAATGGCAGCCACCTGCCCACTGGGTTTTTTTGGGGGGGTGGCTGCGAGAGGATGGCAGCCACACTGTTGTCTGAATGTGCATTTGTGGCTTGGTTTGTATGGTACAGTCTAATAATTTTAGGTGTTCCAATGCAGAATTGTAGACCACCCTGCTCATAAATAGTACAGTATATAAATGGGTACCTCTAGGTGACACAATTTCACATGCAATACATTTCTATAAGTCCACCTATATGCCTGTTACTGCTAACACAATAACACACATGTTCATGATTTCTCCTAAATAGTTTATTGTTTGCAGCTCCAAAAACCATATAGACTCCAGCCTGTTGCCTGTGCTATATGAACATTAACCCTGAGAAGTACTGTTGCCAGAGTATAGAATGTTAGTTGTTAATTTATAAACAGACTAGCCCTTCTCTAGTGATGCTTCAAGAAAAGCTGTGAAATAACACTGCTTCAAAGCATCCATCTCACTGCTAAAAACAGACATTCATCTGAACCAACTAAATAAATGTATGACTATATATCACAGAATAAGAGAAATTATAGTATGAGATACCTTTACCAAGCCCTATTTCATCTTGAAGCCCTAATATCTTCAGGGGAAGACTATCCCTCCCCCCCACTTATTTCAGAAATCTACAGAAAATAGAACAGATTATTACTGGTCAATGGTTGAAAGTGGCAGTTCACAGTTCTACACCCTTTAATCTTTCATCTAACGTTCTTTTTAGCATTTTGAAACTAGCGAAATTAACAGGTGAAGAATACCAATCTACAGTTGCCCATCGTCTCTCTTGCCCACCCCCGGGCCAAACACATGACCTTAGTATTGAAAAAAGAAAAACAGTACCGGTTTATCCTAATTAATTTGTAGTGCCTGCTAGAAAAATGAGAATTTGTATTGGCAATAGCCCTAGCAGATAAGGGAGGGGCTTATTTCAAAGCATGCATAACTCATATTTAAGAGGGTATGTAGTGGAGAAAGAAGAGTTTTGCAAATATTCACGCAGAGGAAACAACATCCATTTCAAACCATCAAATTTATTGAGAGCTATAGACCATTCCCATCTATTATCGGTTGAATTGGTCTAATACTAGTGCATCTCTAAATACTGAGAACCCAAAATGGTACTATTGAGCTATATTAACTCTTGCAACAATGCTAATATCTAATGACATAGCAGCTATGATTTATTTTACCTTCCTCCAGCATGGGAGGTTTTTCCCCAAAGGCTTTTGGAGCTATAGCTCAAGAATACTCACTATTGGACAATAGGGCTACAAAATAGAAAGCAGGCAAATATAAAAAAGGAAAACTGTTAAAGCCCACCGGAATACACTGAGGCACTTTATTCTGGAAAATGGGTAACAAAGACAGCACTAGAAAAAAGCATTGGAAATTACCTAACCAGCAACTCCCAACCGCCATGGCAAAGTTCCCATCCTGCTGAATCAAAAAGCAAAAATTCCCATATGGTTAGAGGACACTTCACATACAACATTTGTAGGTGTGCATGTAATGTGGGAAGATAATCTCTTGTGTGCACAAACTATGTATTATACATGCATACTCACCAGGGAGGCGAGACTGGCAGTGGCTTCCTCTCAAATAGCCAACTGATAGTAAACCCAGGCTTTCTACCACAACGTGTGTAAGGATATACTTCCTCCCAACTTCACAATCATTAGAGCCAAACCCTCATCAACTTGGCTACTGTGCTAAAACTACGGCTGACTGCAATTACTTTCGCCATCAGAGATCCTGGATGCCCCAAACAATCAAGTGACCATTATAATAAGATGGAAGACAGGAATGCAGACTGTCATAGTGGCAACTATCACTCATTAAATGTAAATCAAAACTACACTGAATAAGGGCCTGCCCGGTGAAGTTTCAGGAGTAAATAGCAATTACAACAACATGAAGTAAGTAATAATAAATTTGAGATTTTGAAAGGTGAGTGGATTAAAAATGAAACTAGGCTAAAGCTCAAAGACTCTTAAGAGTGTCTTTCACCTCCTTACTTTCCCTTTAAATTGCATCTAATTAAGAGCCTAGGGCTTGCCAATTAGAAGGTCGGCGGTTCGAATCCCCACAACGGGATGAGCGCCAGTTGTTCGGTCCTAGTTCCTGCCTGCCTAGCAAGTAAAGTCAAAGTGCAAGTAAATAGGTACCACTCCGGCGGGAAGGTAAACGGTGTTTCCGTGCGCTGCTCTGGTTTGCCAGAAGCGGCTTAGTCATGCTGGCCACATGACCCAGAAGATGTCTGCGGACAAATGCCGAGCGAGATGAGCGCCGCAACCCCAGAGTCGTCCACAACTGGACCTAACGGTCAGAGGTACCTTTACTTTTACTTGCATCACATATACAGAGACCTGTAGCAATTTGCTACATAGTCTGTCTATGAATTCTAGGAATGGCTATAGGATGCTTCCTGTGGGAAAAGAGCATATTCTATTTACTATCACACCCCTAAAATGAATTGAAATTGTTTTTTTGTTTTTTAAGCAATTGAGCCTTAAGATTTTTTGCAACAAAAAAATTCAACACAGGTCATAATGAATAGGCCACATGTTGCCAAAACACTGCCTCCAAAATGTAACGTGTTAACACAAGCACTGGAGAAGAAGAAAATCACCACTGCCACATGATGAGTATACATTTGTTAATTTGAGATGATGATTCTTTTATTTACAATACATGAATGGAGAAGTTCAGCCTACAAATGTGGTTGAAGGGAATCTTAGGAATTTCCTGATCATCTGTTCTGCAGAGGGTAACTGGAAAAGGCAGCTATGGCAAGGAACTAGAGAAAACCACTACTCAACACTTTCACATTCCTAAATAGCACTATAGTAAAGAGGTACCTGATTGCCAGACAGGTAATCATATCCAATTAGTACACCAGGAGAGGGGGGGGGAGGGGTTCATTCGGCATCCTTTGGTTAGCAGAATAATGAGGGGGAAAGTTTGAATATGTCTACTATGGTGGAGCTTGGATATTTTAAAAAGTTTGGAAAAGGTCATTTATTTTTTTACTTTTGGTTTATACACATCTCAGCAGCCCAAACAAGCTGCAGCAATCACTTGAAGGACATGAGAGCTTCCACTCCATAGACCTAGCAAACACCAACAGAGTAATAATATTTAAATTTTGTTTCCATCACACACACACAGCACCAAACACTGTTAAGACATATCTTATTTCATTCCTCTTGGGTAGAAATCATACCTGGCTGGATTAAAAATAAACTTTCCACAGGTTATCAGGCAAGTTTACATGACTTACTGGCTTTCAGGTCACCATTCACTCTACAGCCCCAAACCAGGCAAACAACTGGGAGGGACAGCACAATGCTGCTTCGGTTGAACTATGTGAATTTGTTTCTTTGAAGACCTTGTGCTTGGCTTTTTATCAGTGGTCAAGGTCAATTTAAGGCTAAGCGTCTTTCACTCTTGAATTTGTGCAAACACAACAGGGAAAAGATGCCCAAAGCAGGTGCTTATATTTTGACTTTGCAAGTGGTGCCAGTTCAGCTTACAACTGCTGAACATTTCTCCTTTTTATTCATCAGAATGATAAAAGGGTCTCTTTGATAACTAAACAGATATAAAAAACAGGATGCATTAAAAGGGCAAAGGGAGAAGGAAAACACAAAAGTAGCAGAGATCAGATACATGAGGGATCAAAGAATATGTCTTCCCACCAAACTCTTATAATTTCATCCCTGTATGGGAGACTATTGCTTTACCCACCCAACATTAAAGAGCTTTAAGAATTTCATTAAATATATATGAGGGGGGTAGAAAAGGTATAAAGCAAAGAGGTACAGTGGTACCTCGGGTTACAGACGCTTCAGGTTACAGACTCCGCTAACCCAGAAATAGTACTTCAGGTTAAGAACTTTGCTTCAGGATGAGAGCAGAAATCGCGCAGTGGCAGCGGGAGGCCCCATTAGCTAAAGTGGTACCTCAGGTTAAGAACAGTTTCAGGTTAAGAACAGACCTCCAGAAAGAAGTTCTTAACCCGAGGTACCACTGTATTGAAGAAGCACTAACCCACTGGGGTTTAAAAGAGATCTGGGAGGTCAAGAGGAGCTGTGCAATACCTGAGGAAGCCGAGACAAAAGAGCTACCAACCTCATGCTAAACTGAGCCTCTCATTCAAGAGGTTAAAGGGGAACCAAGAAGCTGCAAGAGCAGCTTATGGAAGGGAAATTTCCAGGGATAACAAACTTTCCTTTTCCCCTGGAATGTTCTGTGCCGGTTTCCAGTGTATAAGCATCCCCATTTCTCAGTTATACATACATATTAAATGTGCAGGGGTTTTCAAAATGACACCCCTATATGTTAAACAGGAAGATCCGATACCAGTCCACTAAAAACATGATTGTCCCCAGGCTTAGCTTTATAGTGTACCTTTACCCCATCACCCTTTTTGCTACATGAATTTCCCATTAACAGCAGGCACCACAACCCTCAGCCAATGCAACTAAGTGTAGATTCAGGCGCTACCTCCTTGAGGAGAGGCATTCACTACTTCTTCCTCAGTGCTAGTGCTACACCTACTGCCACAGCTAGGATGGCCACTGCAGCTGCCCCACCATATAGTAGAATTGATTTGCCTTCTGGTAAGAGGATGGGTTTCTCCTCTCCAGCAGGAGTCTTCTCTTCCTTTTCTTCAGAATAGCTTCCCTTTCTGGTCTTTATTTCTTCTTCTGGAGGCAGTATTCTTTCAGGTTTGGGGGTAGCTTTTTCTTCTGACTGAGTTAATTGCTGGACAGGTTTACTCAAGGCTGGAGCTTCAGGTTCTGGCAGCAGCACCTCTTTCCCCTCTTTCTGGTGTTCCTTATGTGAAGGTGCAGAGGAGCCTGGCTTTTTAAGAGACACAATTTCAGCTTCTGGCTCCAGCAATGCAGTTGGAGGTTCTGGGGAAGCAGACTTTGCAGGGTCAGCCTGCAGGACCACTTCTGACACCACTGTTTCCTCAACCCCCTCTGGTATCTCCTCCTTTTCAACATGAACAATATCAGAGTTTGAAGAGTTATTTTCACTCCTTTCTTCCCCACCTCCATTGCTGTCCAAACTCTTCACTTCTTCAGGATCCATAGCCACTTGCTGCCAAGACTCAGGCCCCAACGAGACAGGTAAGCTCTCAGTATGCCAACTCTGACTAGCCGACAAAGAAACTGGCAAGCTTTCCGACTGCCAAGATGTTGTCACTGTGGGTGACTCAGGAGGGCTCACCTGGCCTGAGTTGTCACTAGTTAGGATGTAGATGTCATTGCTATCTTCGGCAATTATTCCGTGGTACTCCTCTTCTTCAGAATCCAAACTAAAAACAGTACCCTAGAAGAAAAATGCACATAATCAATGAAGTTAGCAGCACTTAATTTTACATGATACAACCACATTACAGAAGAATGGTAGCCTTAATTCAGAATGACCCAGAGAAAGTATAATTGCTACATATACCGTATTTTTCGCCCTATAGGACGCACTTTTTCCCCTCCAAAAATGAAGGGGAAATCTGTGTGCGTCCTATGGGGCGAATGCAGGCTTTCGCTGAAGCTTGGAGAGCTTCAGGAAGCTATCAGCAAGCCTGGGGAGCCTGCGGGAGTATATATTTTTTTTCTTTATCCCCCCCCCAAAAAAAACCTAGGTGCGTCCTACGGGCTGGTACGTCCTATAGGACGAAAAATACGGTAGTTGAACAGCCAATGGATACAACAGGTTTCCATCAGAGTGCAGATGCATGCAATTATTGGGGGGGGGAGGCAATAAAACTTTAATACTTAAAGAGGTTTGCATATTGTCAAAACTAAGTATTGAACAGTAATTGTCTTCTGTCTGGTTTGAGACAAAAGTATTGTACTTGGATATGGGAAAAAGACCTGGATTCAGTTCTCTACTATTATGAAATTCTATGTGTGTGCATGCACACAAAAGTCAGGATCACTCACCCTAACCTATTTCACAGGACTGTTATGAGCATAACACATCTGATGTACATTATTTCACAATACACATGCAGCCAATCGGAAGCTGTGCCTTGGTTCCCGAACATTTTGGAAGTTGAACGGACTTCCAGGACGGATTCCGTTTGACTTCCAAGGTACAACTGTAGTTCTGTAGCAATCTCTCACATACTGTATGGTGAGTGCTGATTCTATTAGGAAAGTGCCTCAACTGAAATTGTACTGCATAGGAGTTACTTTTTTATTTCTAGAAATCTATTCCTCAAGAGTCACCCATAGACATAACAGAAATTCTTCATAACTTATAAAAATTCAAAGCCTATTTGAATTAATTGAACGTTTTAAAAAAATAATAATAATCTGGTATCTGTATAGAGAGATGATGTTAATATACAAAGAATATTGGAGCATTGCTAACCAGAACCACTCAGGCATCCTTCAAGCAAAGCTCTCAGAGCTTCTGTTGATGGCTGCCTTTCACAACTATCCATCTGTGCTAATGGAATGTGGCACATGCAAAAAGCTGCATCAGGGGCTGGACTGCCGCCACACAGAAAGTAATTACTCAGTAAATCCCCATCCACCCTCTTTCCGTGCTGATCAAGCTGTCTCATGAGCTCAGGAGCTTTATGGTGAAGAGTACATGTTATTCTGCTATAAATTGTTCCCACTCCTCTGCCCTCTTCATAGCTCCAGGCTAGCTTGCACTATTCACCCTTGCTTCAGCACCAGAGTCATGTAAAACAAAAATCAGAACACAGAGCACTATAATGCAGACAGACCCTCCCATCAGATGTTTGTGATACTCTAATCAAGAATGACCCTGCATCAGAAAACCAAAGGAATATTGAGAAGAGGTCTGCACAGGTAGCAGCAAAGAGGTTTTGCCATCAAAGATATTTTAGTAGGGTTTTTTTTAAAAAAAAATTAAAAACAAGTAGAGTATGTTTTAAAATAAATCAATACTAAGAAAGAATAAAAAATGTGTTAGGCACCAGAGGCCTAACTTCTGAAATATTAGTTCTAGAGAGTTGAGTTCAATTAATATCACTCCCAGTGTCATTTCGCTTATATTGTTTCATACAACTTAACCTTATTGGCCCTGTATTTTACTTAACTGAGGACACAAAACTTGCCCAGGGAAGATCATTCTACAAATACTAAGTTTCTGCAAAACAATTTTGCTAATTTTTGAAGACAGACACTCTGGTGCAATTATCTAGGCAGTTTCATTAAATAATCTAGTATCTGACTTGAAAGATTATGCCCCAAGATGAATAACATTAAGCTGTGTATACTACAAATGAGAACATTGTAAGTTGCCTTATAACAAGTCAGATCATTGGGTCCATCTTTCTTAGTACTGTTGACACTGACTTGCTTTTACACGCAGAACATGTGCTCTACCACTGAGCTACAGCCCTTCCCCAACAATGAGTGTGGAATTCTCAGTTACATCTAGCCAGCAATACTACTCAAATAGATTTCTTAGCTTCATAAAGGAAAGTTGTTGTTACCTCCATTTCAGCACAAACTGCACCACAGGCTACAGAATCCTTTTATCTGTACCACATGATCCACAGAACAGGCTATTTTATGCCACTTGAGGTGTTATACTAAATCTTCGTACATCAACAGTGCTGTTCTTATCTGAAGGTCACACAAAGGTCTTCAGAGTGCATTTTAACAGCTTTCAAATGTGCCAGGAATTAGCAGTTAAAAAAAGAAATAATGGAAAAGATAGAGCCATGGAATATTAAGCAGCAATGAAGGAAAAGACATCTTAGACAATCTCAAATTTGAGAGTGCAGGCTCCTGAAGAGGTTGGCTTTCCAGGCTCGGGGGTGGTGGGCAGAAGAATAGGTTAAGAGGCTGCTCCCCTAGGTGTCAGCTGAAGGAGTAGGAACAACCTCAATAAGAGGGAGAAATATACACCATGGAAGGGGTTGAGACACAGAAGAGTAAGTGTGTGGGACAGCAGGCACCGAGAAAGGTGGGTGAAGCTGTCTCTAGCATGCAGTGGAGTAAGAGAGTGCTGAAGGTTATGGAGTCTTCTCTAAGCCCAACTTTATTTTGTCCTAATAGGATTCTTATGCTTTTCATTCACTGTCCTGAGCCTTGGACATAGGAACAGGTTACAAATATAAACAAATTTAAACTGCATATGCAGGATCCCAATGATTTGTTTTACTACTTCAAAACAGTCAAGAGTAAAAATGCTAAGTATCAGGTAGATCTAAAATTAATCAGTCACGCTACCCATGCTGCTAAAAACAAACACTTGCTCATTTCACTTAGAAAAGCATACAAAAAGACAGGAACTCTCCTTCCAGGAGCGGTTAGTCTGTGCAAGCAACACTACAGTGTTATGTACAGCACTACATATTACAGCCCACAATATTCCATTTTCAAGCAGAGAGGAGAAACTAAGTCAAGAGGTAAGCCATCTAAAACAGGAATTGTTATCTAATACTGAAATCTGCAGTAGACTCCTTTATAAAAGTCAATAATGTCTCACAAGCCTACAAATCTCCAGCTAGCATTTATTGATATAGCCCTTCCAGCAATTATTATTTTTAAATTACACCATCCATTATGTTATCCTGGATTCCATTATCTCACTTCTGTAAGCAAGTGAAGTCTGAATAAAGGTACATTCTTTTACTCTCTTACAAAACGCACTCTCCAACAAGGCATGCTGCTATTTTAATACATTGCCTAAAGATTTGTCCCTTGTCATCCAGAGTCAAATCTTGGAATAAAGAACCAGACAATTTTGTTTTTTCACTGAAAGTATGCCACTATTAATAGTCTGAAGAGCAAGATGCTTAGAGGTTTTACTACACTGAAGCAGAACATAAATTTTGTTAAGCAAACAAACCTTAGTGCAAGATCCTGGTTGTCTTTCTAATAAGAATGCAATTATCAAGTTCAAAACGGAAATGAATTTTGTTCTTATACCTCTACCATCAGAGTCTAAAACACACCTACTTACCACCAACTTCAGTTTTAGAAACTGAATGACTACTTTACACTTCTAAAGACAACAACAATGCCAAGACCGAAAATAAAACCCAGAGTCAAGCACTAGGGAAAGTAGCCTGCTTTCCGTATCATTCTATAAATCACAATCGCAATTGCAAGGAAAGCAATACTTTAGACTTTTAATTGTGCATTGCAGCTTCTAGTTCGCTTTTTACAAGTCAAATGGATGTGCAAGTTTCCAAAGGCACTTAATTATACTTTCATGCAGATATTATTAAAGCAGAGCAAGCCACAAGCATGTAAACTGGTGACAAAGCAGAATAACAACTTTTAAGCAAAAATAGTTAGTCATCTCTATTCTTCTCAGATCTCCCACAAGTCCTTTTCAATGTGCATGAAACACTGGAAATTAGGACAAGGTTGACACTTTTAAAGCATAATTATACTACTTCAGTAGTAAAGTCTTACCCAAACTGACTGTTCTTACTCTGCACTTTTCCAAGAGAAGTTTCTGATGCAGCAGACACAGCAAACAGAGGGAGAGTGAACAGAGAAAGGGGAGGGAGTATGCGCACTGCACATCAATTTGTTTGTGCCCTAATACAGCTTCAGGGCAAGCTGTGGAGCTAAGCTGCTGCCAAATTAGAATGAACGTTTTTTGTTTTGACCCAGTGGAAAACATGGAACCTTTCTGTGACTCTTCTGGTTTCCATCAACAATGTCTAGAGAGCAAGCTATGTCTACAAAAATGCTCAGAGCTAGATCTCTGCCTCTTATGATTAAAGATGTACACTGCTACCTTGAAAATGAATTCAAAGCAAACCAATCTACTGCCTTACAAGAAGAGAAGTAAAGCAAAAGTATATATTCTGCATTGTTCTTATAATCTTTTTCAAGTTCAGTAACCAACAATATTGCATGACTCTGTTTCTTTTAGGTCAGAAGCTATTGCTTACATATGCAAAACTTTATGAGAACTTAGAAACTGCAACTGCATTTTGATTCTTCCTGATATTGAAATTACTACAAAAGCGGACTTAATGCAGATTTCACTGAAGAACGTTACTCGTTACTCACTGCTCACACTCAAAATGTGTGCAACACAACTTCTCATTAGAAAAGGAAAAGCAACATAGAAAAAAAACCATCAGAACAATGAAAAGGAGGACATTACCTTTTTTAATGTGCTACATTTAACTTTTATAGTCTTGCAGCATAATCCTATGCAGGTCTATTTAGAAACAAGCCCAGCTGAGTTCTGTGGGACTTATTCCCAGAACCAATCTTCTTCTTAAAGGTTGCCATTTCTGCAAAAATCCTCCAAATATCAGGAAATCTACTCTTGACTGACGTTCCATTACACAATGATGGCACTGGGTGATGAATCCAATATTAAGTTTCTATATATTCAGTTTGTAGTATCTTATTGCTCCAAGTGTGTTCCATGTTGCATGACTATTTTTTTACTTCAGTCTAATTATTTTCCTACTCTACAAAATAGCTCATTAGGTCTGGATTATTTCCACTTACTAAAGCTCCTGAGGCTGTACCGTTTTTGCCACTGCTTCCTCTGTAGAAAGACCTGGTGTTTTCACAAAGCTCTAAATCTATAGAAAGAGTATTTGTGACTTTCGTGAAAGGAATTGGGAGACCCTAATGACATACTCTTTAATGACTAATGGAACACAGAGAGTTAGATGCTCTTAACTAATCCATTCCTTGCCTCTGCTGGAGTAGCTGAACATTTAAGTGATTTTAGTCTTTAAACAGCTTTTAAGCTATCTCCTACCCCCCAATACACATTGTTGTTTCTTCTTCCTTGGACAGGTTCACCATGACTGGAAATTTAGGAGGTCTAGCTGAACGTTACACATTGGGATTAAGCAGCTCAGGGGCAGTACCACAGCTAATTCTCCAATTCTGCTGCTCTACCATTAGTGAAGACCAGCAAGAACATTTGCTGTGCATTCTGAGCTTCCAAACAGAGCAATTAATTTGAAGTTTCCCTATTCAAGTATTTAAACACGACCAAAAAGCATTGCTTAATGGTAGTACCATGTTTCAGGAAAACTTGAAATATTGCAGTCTCAGTTTCTTAAAACACAAATTTGTTAAACCAAATCAAAATAAGACTAGGTACCAGCCACAAAACTGAACCTTGTGCTGAACCTTGTGCATAATGACATGAAGATCAAGATCAAAATACCCAAGATCTTACTCTTAACCACAGAGTAGTTAATCATGGCAACTTTTATTCAGTTTAAAAATCATCACCATTTCAATTCTTTCTTCACCTTTCCTGCCCCATTTCAAAAATAGCTCTGCCCTGTTGGTTATGCAGCTTCTGTCAGTCCAATTTTATGCCTGGCTAGAGGTGAATAGATAAGTGCATGGTTCATGGAACTGCCAAGTCAACTACAAACAGTCACACAGTGAACATTCCCTCCCTCTTAGACACAGCTAGGCTGCTGTGTGTTTTCAGAAGCAACTATGCATTGTGACACGCATGTTTATAAAAGGCTTTACAGAAGTCGTTGAGGTATGGAACACAGTCTTCTGAGGGTACCAAAACATCAAAAGAAACAGGAGGACACAATGCAAGAAGTTATCTACTGGCCAAAAACAAAAAATCTAAGACATTTCATTAAATCAAGGCCCAAAGCATAACCAGATGTAGGAGTCATTGTTTATTCTGCAGGAAGTGGAAATAATAAAGGCATAATCTAAACACCAGCTCTAGCACCAGGCAAATATGCAATTTGTACAGTCAAGAAACATATTTATTCTTATGAGAAAATAAGGGCACAAAGGAGATGAGGGCGAGGGGAAAGCCCCTGGTAAAACCACTGTTTGCACCCTCCTAGTACACTTTACAAAATCAAAATATGAAATATATATAATTTTAAAGGTTATTAGTATGTTTTTGCTATTTAGATTTTCTAACCACTGACCAGCTTTACTTTCAGAATAAAAACAACTTGGGAGTCATTTCACTAATCCCAGATTAATTCTGTTTAAATCTGGCAGTGTTCTATCTCCCAGAGAGGAATAATCTGTATGCTCACTGTGCTCCAGTCAACTATCAAGTTGTAAGAAACAGATGGGAGGGAGGGGGCCTGGATATTCTTAGAGGGTTTCGTTGTGCCTTCAAAACACAATTTTCAAATAGCACTTTAAGTAGAACCCATTTTTTCTTAGCCCATTTCACACAGGAATCTAGAGAAATACAACTTAAAGCACTCCGAGAAATTCAATAAAATTAAAAAAAGCTCAATCTAAATGCATAGCCTGAACTTGTTCATGACTATGAGGTAGCTCAAGTCTGCTGCCCCACGAAAACAGAACTAAACTCATATGAAGACCAATGCATTTTAATTAAGATCAATTTAAAAATAATGCTGTTATCTTTGTTCTTGTTCATTATCCTAAATAATATCTATATGTTCTGCTATGGACAAAAAATCAACACTGCTTTCCTTTGAACAGTTAGTAAATCTTAAATACAATTGTTGTATAGAGAGATGCACATATCTGTTCATCAACTCTGGAGGAAGATACAGTTGGACATTTAACTTCCTTACCCATCCACCTTGCTGGATGATATAGTCTGCAACATAGTCTTCTAGGTAGGTCACTCCAAAATTCAGCAGTGCCCCAAGTGGTTCTTTGCCCTGTCTTGTCAGTTCCATCAGGAATCGCTGAAGGATCACCAGAGGCACTAAAACCTTTGGAGTAAAGAGTGAAACATGATCAGGAATTGCAGTACTTTGGAAGAAAATCCTGCCACTGCGCCAAAGAGTGCTAAATACATTTATTGCGTAAGTAATTTTGCATGCATGGACATGAGATACAAGCATGGTGGGAGGGCAGCTTTGAAGGAGGCAACATTAAGCCCATATAAATATGAATAATCTTTTTCAAGTACTCAGTTAAGAAAGAGAATACACAGAACACAGAACCCTGGCCAAAAAGCAGATTAGTCAGTGGGTCAATCTAGTCTCAAGAATCAGGCAATGAGTTCTCAACTCATCATTCCCTACCCCTCACTACTTCTTGGGCAGGTAAATGAGTTGCTGCTACTGTTGCAGTGTCTCCGCTGTTTAAAATGAACAGGCAGTCAGGATGGTAACAGCAATTTGAAAGGGAGGAGAATAATGGACCTAGGTATCCCTTCTTCAAGTTACCCAACGTAAAGTGGACTGGAAAGTTTTGCTGCTGTGCAACATTATAATCTTCAAACGCTCCATACAACACCAAGAAAAACAATTTAAATATCAGCTTCAAGGACTTTCAAATGCAAAGAATGCATTACTGGCAACAGGGTAACATTCTGTACCTTCTTTAACAGTGACTTTTTCAATTAAATCACCACTATCTGATCCAATTTCTGGAATTATCAAGGGACACCACTCTCTATTTTTGACTTTATCCCAAAGAAGAGTCAATACTGATTTATCTTCTCTTGCAAGATATAGACTTGAAAGAAATTAGCTAGCACCTAAAAGGGTATTTTTATGTGAATATCTGTGATGAGAGAAAGTCAATGCTGTCTTGGAGTCTTGAAGCTTCAACCCAGAGAGATCCACTTTACTCCAAATAAGCTCCCTAACACGAGTGGTAACTATGGCTCTCTCCCATAGGGCCACCAAGATACTAAGCCCTTTCATTATGGGCTTTTAGCAAGCATAGCACCAAGTGACGTGACAGTATCTTTTCCATTCAATCATAAAATAGAATTGGAACAATTAGTACCTGAAATATCTGATGGGCTGAAAAGAATCTATTTGAAAACATTCATTAAAAACTAATTGATGTACTATATGTCTAACCCTTTAAGAACCTGGCAGCTTCTATGAGATTGAAATGTCTATGAGTGCTTCACAAGGAAAAAGATGGGCTTGTTTCTGTTAACAGAAAACTGGATACAACTGGCTGCTTCTGTGCTATGCATTTAGAGTGAAATAGTCATGCTTTGTTCTCTCTGAATGCATTTGGAATCCATGTCTTCAGGAAAGTTGTCATCCTGTATACATATACATGGGTGTAACCCCCATAGAATACCCCAGAGCTGACTTCTATGGAAATACACACCATGTTGGACTGTAACCGTGACCTGAAGGATTATAGGGAGAGGAAGGAAACCACAGCAACACCACCAAATGCTTGGCAAAGGGAGATCCATCTGGATATGGGACATGGATAAAGTTGTAAAAGTCTGTGCTGGGGTGGGAAGAAAAATGCTACTGAAAATGGAATTTGAGCACTAATAGAGATACACCCATCAGCCCCACTACTATCCCAATGGAGAACCCTATCCCCTACAAAGGAAAGGAAGAAAACCATCTGCATCTCTGCCTCCTCCTGCTCAGTCTGAGGTTTGTCTCTCACCCATACACCAAATTTCCTTTTCCTTAATGCAAAATGTCACGTTCAATTTCTCTTGTGGATGCTGTATAAAAGAATTATACAGTACTTACAAAAAATATAAATCATTCAGATAAAGTGCCTTCCTCACCTTCATCCTGTTCAGCAACAATAATTATTTCCCTTTCCCTTTGTCATTTGGACAAATTATATTTATACAAAAGAAGTTCAGAGCCACAAGAGCAGTTTGAGTTTCCTAGGCCAGGTTCCAAAGAACCGTAAACTAGTTCCATGAGTCCGAAAGTGCTTTCAGGCCCAATTTGTTTCCTTAAACCAGTGTTTCCCAACCTTGGGCCTCCAGCTGTTTTTGAACTACAATTCCCATCATCCCTGACCACTGGTCTTGCTAGCTAGGGATGATGGGAGTTGTAGTCCAAAAACAGCTGGAGGCCCAAGGTTGGGAAACACTGCCTTAAACAATAGCTCCCTATACCAAGTGACCTTATTTTGAAACTCAGGAGAGTTTGTAAGCTACTCTGATGTGTTACGGGTATCAGATGCTGAAAGTGAAAAATTCCACTGGACTAACACAACCCTTTCTGTGAGCCAAAGTATTTTTTTGGATTCCAGCTCTGGTATCAAAAAGTTGTAACTCAGTAGGAAAAGATTTTATCAGAATGAAGTGTTTTTTGTTGTTTTGAAAAAAGAGGAACATTTGCCACCTTCCAACTATAGCTGTTTTACTTCCTGTCAACCTAAAAGACACTCAATAAAAAAATCCAATCAACATTTGGTTTGCAAGAAAGCAAATGACATTTTTAACTCCTTGAAGGTAAGTTCAAAACTTTTTAAGATTTCTCATGGTGACCTTTGTATTCTCCTTTAGTTTATCATTTTAGAAACTGTATAGGATGGAAGGATTCTTAATTCTTTTCATTTCCCTTCAAAATCCTCTGTTAAAGGGCAGGTTTTCAAGAAAAATAGCCACTGGGTAAAAGTGGTAATTCCAATAAAGATGGTTTTCAACGCAACCTGTTTTGCAAGCTTTATCTGTATCAGCAATCATATTGTTAGAGTATGTAGTCAAAAAGATGTTACAGAAAAGTCTATAAATTGCAGACACTGCATTTTCTAAAAAGACTGGTAGAGGTATGGTGTGATCACATTTGGAATACTGTGTACAGTTCTGGTCACCTCAAAAAGGATATTGTAGTATTAGAAAAGGTTCAGAAAAGAGCAACCAAAATGATCAAAGGGACGAAGTAACTCCCATATGAAGAAAGGTTGCAGCATTTTAGGACTTTTTAGTTAGAAAAAAGGTGACTACGGAGTGGTAAGACAGAAGTTTGTACAATTATGCATGGGATGGAGAAAGTGAGTAAAGAAATGTTTTTCTTCTTTTCTCATAACACTAGAATGGACATCCAATAAAGCTGATCAAGAAGAGCAAGGGACCTTATACAGAAGGAAATGTTCCCAAAGTTATGCTGGACCAATGCTGCTTTTCCTAAGAACACCAGCAGCAGACTTGGAGTCAAGAGACAGCCAATTAAGTGCATGGCACACTGGCATCACCCTAAAGTCTGCAAGCAACCATGTTGCAGTGTCAACTTCTTTCAGTGGAAGCCCAACATCAAGAACATGGCTTAAGCTGATCCCAGAGACCCAAAAAGACATGAAGATGAAAAGCCATTGTTTTCTAGGAAGGAATGTGGCCTAGCCTATCAGATGTAAACAGATAAAGTGCTCCAAGTCACTACTACTATTATTTGAGTTTTCAAAAGTAATTCTGCCTGTAAATCTGTCCTACAAGAGAGACCATGGTCACACTCTATTCAAAGTAAAGCAAGTTTTGCCAGAAAGTAACTCAGATCCGCTATTATGAAAAGAAATTTGAATAACTAAATTCAGTATGTGCATATATTTGCTTATTTTATTTATTCTGGTTCTAATGATTATGGAAGAATGTCCTATAAACAAAACTGAGGTATTACCCATCATCACTACCTGAAATGTTGCTCAGAGGCCTCCCCTCTCATGGTGTTTCGCTACATAGATGACACACAATCATACCACCAAATTCTAGCCCTTTACCACCAAAAAGGGCTAGAATTTTGCTTTTTTTAAAAGAGAAAGAGGAGAACCTCCATATACCGACTTTCTGTTTGCTGTTTGACTGCAGAATCATATTAAATATCATAGTAATAATGCACCAACTACACTTACTCCTATACTTAAGTGCTAATAAAACCTGGAACATGCAGTACGGTATAGATGAGGCAAATAAAACAGAGTACTGATTCCTTAAATTGGCACAGGTCTATAATGGATATCTAGTCAATTCAAAGTGAGGGTGATTTGGCAAGTACCTTGCTCCATCCACTGGCATGAGCTGATGCTTCCTGTGTCCTCTCCTTGTATTCCTTGTAAGTTACTGGTCTGTACAAATAAAACCAAAACACAAGATTTTAAAAAGCAAAGCAAAGGCAAAACAAGAAGGCATAACCTCCTTTTCAACAATTTCTGCACAGTCTTGAAATGGTAATAGTAACACAGAGAGATATGTCAATTCTAGTAATATTAGATTACAGAGTTGGTGAAATGATTTGTGCATTTTTTGTTGAATCAGCTCATGCAGACAACTGACAAAAAACTTAATACTAGAATACTACAACTGAACTCCTTCAGGAGTTGCCACCTTAGTACTACTTTTATTGTGGTCAGTGACTTCTATGGGATGGCTGCAATCAGGAAACCTGTTGAGGCACAGCCAAAACCAGAGCCAGTGGTGTCTGAGCAGATGCTTCCACTGCAACTGCAAGGCCCAATTTCTGTGGGGATGGCTCAGCAAGGTATTTGCAGCTGAGGGGAAAACTGGGAGTCCACTTAGAGTGCACTCCCAATTGTTATTTTCAAGTCTGAATTATTCTATGTCATAAAATGTCAGGTGATTAACAGGTGGGCAAGATCTGGGTCTGGTCTGCTGACTGGATACTAAGATATAGTAACAATTCTTGCTTGCCCACCTACTGAGCATGTGACTGAATGCAATTATGGGTGCTAAAATATGAGAGAGGGGAGAAACTCCCATTACTGTGTGTATATGTCACAATTCTATGTACACTTACCTGGAAGTAGCCCCACTAAACACTTCTAAATAAGCACAGGATCAAGCTGCTTAAACTATGTAAGAGTGATATTACCTTTAAATCACAGTTAAGCTTAAGGATGTTTTAAAAGTAAACATGCAGTATGCTGGTACATGGAGCAAAAATTGTGGTCACTTTGCTCTTCCACTGCTTCTGGGAGCTAAGTCATGGTTTGGCATAGTGCTACCTCAGAACCCAGACTCAAGATTTGTCTCTCTCCATACAAACCACAGGCTGAAACCAAATGCTTGTGATTTGTTTGGGAAAAACAAACCATGAACCAGGGTTTGGGTACAACACTAAGCCAAAACATGGTTTAGGCCCCTGCAGTGCAGCAGCAGTGGGGAAGAAGTGAACTGGCCACTATTTTCACCCAGTGCATCACAGCCTAAAGTGACAGGTTAACCAGCTCATCCCAGGTGATTGGCAAGTTTCCATATGTATATATATCTTTACCTCTAACATGCAGGTGGAGCACTGAAGTGAAATTTTTAGTCCTACATAGGACTAAATTGTTCCAGCACTGGCCCCATGTGATGCTACTGGATATATTTCCTTCTGATTGACCTTTGTATGTTGTTTTTCAACAAACAGAACACTCCATGCTTAGCAGGTTTTTTCCCTAATCCGCATTTTCCTACTTCTTTCATGAGGATGTCCTGAGCAAGGGTTAAATGCATTTATTGAGTCTAGCTTAAGGACAGCTGGTCTGCTACATCTGTCTACTGTACTCAGTACACAAGGGCTGGAAACCTTCATATCACCATGTCTACAATATAAATGACTTACAGTTTCAATAGAAGACTATATTGCAGATTTCTGAAAGCATCTACATGTTCACAGAACAACCACGTGTAGGACAATTAAATAACTTTCCCATATCATTTGGTATAGATTTTGATCAATCTGCTAGATAATTAAATTTACCAAATACAGAAGCTTCCACTTGTGCTGCAATTTCCGAACTCAAAGATCTTAAAATGAATCAAAACATCAGCGATGAGCTATGTGTGTAGAACAGCCATCACAAATCTAGCTCCAGAGACAGGCTTTTCACTCACCAGCAGTAACCAAGAACAAACCTTGGTTACAACCCCCAGTTTGTTTGGAAAGAAACAAACCACAAGCCCAGGTTCAGACATCACAAGGTGCCAGACTCTGGCTCATTTCACAGCAGTATGTGCATTATAGTTATCTGGGAGCAAATCCTAACTAAAAAGCAAAGTATAAACATAGTAAAATAGTGGCCTGGGAGTTAGGCATTTTGATCCTTTTCACAATTGTTTTCTAATCTTTGAGACTTCCTTCTATCTCAATACTGCACATATAAGGCAATGTATAATTAAGAATCTATAACCCATTCATTCAAAATAGCATCTAAAAGCCAACCTAACACAAATTACATTTAAGGCACAACTCCCAAATTCAGCACATTTCAACAAATTGCTCTAAGGAAATGAAACACTTTCAGCTGACAACAAAAACTTTATATTAAAGGCATCAGCTTGATCTTGGGACGGAGCTGAAAACAAAAGCTGAAAACAATGCTGAAAACAAAAGCTTTCATACAACTTCAATTGAAGTCTCCATCTTTCTCCAAGCTATTGGGAACCAGTACAGTGGTACCTCAGGTTAAGTACTTAATTCGTTCCGGAGGTCCGTTCTTAACCTGAAACTGTTCTTATCGTGAAGCACCACTTTAGCTAATGGGGCCTCCTGCTGCCGCCGCGCTGCAGGAACACGATTTATGTTCTTATCCTGAAGCAAAGTTCTTAACCTGAAGCACTATTTCTGGGTTAGCGGAGTCTGTAACCTGAAGCGTACGTAACCCAAGGTACCACTGTAAGTCATCTGTGGAAGTAGGTATGCATATAGCAAAAGCTATGCGATATAATAATTTAATAATAATTTATTATTTATACCCCACCCATCTGGCTGGGTTTCCCCAGCCACTCCTTGCATGCTGAGTAAAGATGGCTGGGAGACAGAAGTTCATGGCAGGTCTCCCTTCTCTAAGAGGAAGAGTCAGAGGAGGTGTTAAAGGAATTTAGATGAGAAAAAAATTATTATTATTAATAATAATTCAATGGGGAATACAACAGAATGGGCCAAGAGAGAAAAACTATTAGCACAAATTAAGTTAGTAAAAAGGACCAGTGAGGAGGGATGAAAACAGCTGGCAGGTTTCAGAGCGGGGGGCGGGGAATAAGATCTAACAAGGAGAAATGACAAGATGGATAAAAATACTATAGAGACACATGCAAGGGTGGGAGAGAAAAAGCCTTCTCCACTTAGAACCTCTGGATCAGCAAATTCTTCCTAACTTGGGGGTCTGTCACAATACCTCAAGATCAAACATCTGTACTTAAGCTTGAGGAAAGCTGAGCTGTGGAAATCTTTGCCACAAGAAAAATACAGTGGGAAAGAATTTTGTAATTTCCAAATATGTATTAGATATCTGTAGAAGGTGATGCCAGTAATTGCCTGCTGATTATGCCAAACTCTGCCTCCATCTATCACCATGTTGTGACTGGCTCTGCCTCTGCACCATCTTTTTTGACTGGTGAGGCTCAGTAATTTTCACCCATGTCAAGTGGGCCCCATGGGGAGAAATTTGAGAACCCCTGATTTAGGCAAAGCAATCTTAAAGTGTTCCTGTGATTTTCTGTATCTTAACTTAAAATGAACAAAGCCTGGTACTGGTAGAGATGTGTAATGAAGTCAAATTTATACCAAATGTTTGCGACAGTTTTAGAAAAATAATAATTCAAGGAACTGCTTGTATACAGTATCTCAGTACCTTTCAATATTGACTTATGTAAGACGGGCTTATAAATACTGGCAAAAAGCTCTGTTTCCCTTTTTTGCTCTACAACTGCTTTTCTGAATGGTATGGACTGTCTACACAAGGAGAACTGTAGTAAATAAAGATGTGATAGTTTGTATTATTAACACGAGTGGTTCAACTTTCAGATCAGGCATAGTAGAATATAGAAAGTTTTCTATTGTGTTTTATTTTCAAACTATAAAAAAGTTGCTTTTCAGACCTGAACTTCTATACATTGCCACTACATGCAGCAGAGTGAGGTAAAAAGTGCTGGCTGTAATCAATATGGCAAAATCCTATGCAGCTTTACATTAGTCAGGAAGTGCCAAATTTATTAAGCTATTGTGGAATCAATTATCTTATTCCTCTGACACTTGTATTACTAACATAATCAAATGTCAGTACTTTTGTTTTATAATATACCAGCTCTACATATTCATTTGGAATAATTCAATGAAATGACCTACTCCCTATCTCATGTCAACATTGAGGGTCTACCCTGCTATATGGAAAAAAAAGCAGACTGACTTACATGAAACACGTGTCTGTGCTACCTCAACGCAATTTCTCTATTACTTCCTACTTGTCCCTCTTATTAAAGGCCAGAAGCGCTCCCACTATGAGAATGGGGAAGTAGTTCCAATAGCAGAAGTGCACCCAATATATGTTTGGCAACATCTGGGGTACCTAAAATATAGAGATATCAGTATTAGCCCCATGGCATTGTAGTACAGCATCCAGATTTTAAACACTTAGGAGGAAGGACTCTACCCTGACTACTGTCTAATAAGGAAAACATTCGGGCATTTACAGCTATCAGAATAAGCAGTGGCTTTGAAGGAAGTTGTTTTCATTGTAGTGTACTGATGTTCGTAAGTTTAAATGATGGGAAATTGTTAGCTCACTTCATATCAAGTGCATAATTAAGGAAGGAAAGTGAATCAGGTTTAGAAATAGTTGTGCCAAAATATAGTCACATAATCAATATTACTGTATTTGTGAGAATTTTAAGAGCAAGTACCTTCCCTGCTGAGCAAAGCAAATGAGAACTCACTTGCTAAGTAGGGTCTCTAATGCCTTTTGAAGAGGTTCTTTCAATTCTTGGAATACTTTCTCTCCCAGATGAGCTAAGCAATCTTCTATTGAAGTCTCTGGGTTGGCAGGACTGAATACTGGAGATGTGTGGCAGTCAAAGCCTGTGCTGGTAAAAGCTGAAATAAAAAAAAGAGAGAGATTTCATACTGTTAGTGAGATTGAAATAGTAAGTCATACTTGGAGCAGATCCACTGAAACCAATTGACTAACTTAATCAGTCATGACTAACTTAAGTCAACTGATTTCACTGGTGGGACAGAAAATATAAAACAAACATTTCTAAGGTAGAATTTGCACTTAAGCATACAGAACCAATAAAAATAACTATTCTGTAATTTTGCACGAACATAATTATGTCTCATCTAAGGCAGCTATTGCAAAAAGAAAATAAAACTTCAATAGCAATCTTACTTGAAGTTGGAACTGTGTATTTATTACATTGGGTTATAATACATCTTTCTGAAGAACCTGCACTAATCTTTGACTGCATTTTCCCTTTGAAAATACAGCTGTTTTCACTTACAGTTTGAAATGTGTATTACAATGGCTACAATGTAACACATAATTATCAAAAACATGAATTAATATTCCCTCTGAAAATATGGCTGTAGGAAAATTATAATTCTTGGGACATAACAACATAAGCAACCAAGTAAATAAGTCCACCAACTTGCACAGACCTTCCAAAATTTCTTCATCAAGACGTTTCAATTCCTCCTCAATTTCTGCTTTAACTTTCTCCAGGACTTCCTTATCTAAAGCTTGTGAGGCCGCAGATGGATCAGTCACTGAAACAAGCAAAAAAGTTCAGCTAAAAAGGTAGATTCTTAGGATATGCGTATAATGGCAGAAGAGCAACAAATATTCATCAATTACAAACACTTGCAGTTCTATCAAAGCAAAAGAACTTCAGTTCACTATAAAAATAAGTAGGAATTAGTGTTTATGGCACAAGAGCATCCAGGTCAATTTCTCACACAACAAATCATTTCTAGTGAGGAAAAAATTCCCTAAGAAAAATAAACAAGGTTGCAATCCCATGTGCATTTAGCTAAGGCCCCCTCAGCATGGCAAATGAAAAGGGATTACAGAGTTGTGTTCAATGGGACTTACTTCTAAATAGACATGTATATTAGTGCTATAAATTTTATTTATGAAATTGGAATAAATTTAATAAAGAAAATGATTTTTCCCAACAAATATACGACATGCCAAATTGATGAAGTTCTAATCACCGCAGCAGTATAAATTGCTGAGTGTGTTTCAACAGAAAGGCAGAAACATCCAAACATTAGTGATCCAGCATTACAAAACGTTAACACAGTCTCCTTGAAATGTAAGAATCTACTTTGTTCTAAACAGTAAAATCTGTTGAAAGAAAGTTGTCTTCTAATTCTGGAGATGTTTTCCTATACTTAGTGGCCTTGTTTGCATTTAACTATGGTTTAAACATGAATTTGTGTCCCCCGCCATGCAGGTCCCCACATGACTCCCCCACCCACCATATGATGCCTGAATGGCTCAAACAAGCCATAGTATGGTTTGATATAGGATTCAAACCTAGGCCATGTTCTGTTTCAAACATACTACAAGAAGTAAGCCAGAAATAAACCAAAGTTACCACATGGTTTGCTTGAAGAAATGATTAAAGCAAGGTTTAAGGTAAACTGTGGCTTATTTTAATGTCCACACCATGCAAAAATGTTTGCAGGCCATTTGTTTAATTATTTCAGAACTCCACTTTAAGTTAATACATGAAAAATGTTTTTCTTTCATTTTTATGGATGCTGGAGTTTTTGCTACCAGACTCACAAAACAAATAGTTTAATCAGACAAATAAAACTGTATGCACTCACTCTCTCTTCACTAGAGAAACCCAGATACTTAAATGTCCTTACTTGAAAACCATATTCTTCTAACAGATTTTAATATTGATATTATGGAATTTAGATGGCCTCTAATGAGCTTCTCTTCCCATTTCCAGAAATGATTTTGTGGAATGTGACAGGAGAATTAGTATAGCACACACGCTACCACAGGGACAGATTCACTTGCTCAATTTATATGCCAAGAGTCAACCAAACTGACAAATCATGTGATGCTTAAGAGCCAAACTTCCGGGGCAACACATCCCTTCTCCCCGCTCCTATAAGTATATCATGCCAATATATTTGTCCTTCAAGAAGAAATACATTTCCCCCTGCAAATGTAAGTTTTCTAACAGCCACATCTCATTTTACCCACTTGAAATTTTTTATTCCATTAACTCTTTTTGCCACAGTTTTAGAAATGTTACTCCCCTCTTCCTACAAAAATGGAGATGGAAAATTGAGAAATAAAAATTGCTGACTGCTCTCCAGGGCACTTAATTAGTTGCTGCTAGGGAGAGGAACTTGGTTACAACTCAAACAATGACAGCAGTGGCAAGAGCAGTAAGTAGAATCAATTCTATTCCCCTTTAAGTTATACCACACTTATCTGATCACATCAACTTGCAATTCCTGCTGTACTTGCACAAACAATGTATGAAAAAGCATAAACACCCCCATGAACAACCACCAAAATGTCCTGTGTCCAAATGATGATATAGGATGGGATGAGACAAGAAATGATTCCTAGGTGTTGTTAGTGATGTGCCTCTGGAGTTCTGACCTGGAGGTAAGTAGGCTTCTATCAGAAGTACCACAATTATAAAATCACATTAAAGAAAGAGTTTTGTCTGGAAAGCAGAGAAACTTACTTTGACAGTTTAACTAGTTGTATAATACCTCACATCAGGAAAGACTGAATTACAGTTACATAAAGAAAACTCAAATCTAGACTTCTCAGTTAAGGCTTGCCCTGCCCAAATGAGAAGGAATCCATTGAGAAGAGCACCTGTTTCCCACAGAACTTGAGTGATGGTGATCATACATGGCAAGCTGTCATACTTGATAAGAAACCATGCTGAAAAAATGACAAGGAATTTCAATCCTTTAAAGTACACAGGAGTACTATTTAGATACCTAATGTTGTATCCTCAGTGCTTTCACATTCAACCATTCAGTACTGCTAATGAATAAAAAACAGCCACTATTCAGAGGCTCTAAAGGAGACAATACAGCAAATATTAACTGATTTTGATACTGACTTGACAGACAACAACCGGAAACCTGTCTAATTCCCGACACTATTTAACTAAGTTATTCATAAGTAGAAAAGTAATTTTATCCTTCTCTTTATTTCCGCAGCTCTTTGTAAATAATCAGAAGAAAACAATTTAAATGTCTGCCCCTTCCAGAGAAACAAAGCACAATATATTGTTCTCAACTGATGATTTCTGGCTGGTCCAAAAGCAATACTGCCAGACTGTACAGGAAGCAAAATTCAGCTGTACTTTGTGGGCAGGGAAGGGAAGACATTGATGGTTTCTCAGAAGAGTTCTCCTAAGCTCCATGGACTGCAAATTACTGTATTCTTGTTATTAGTGGTTCTGACAAGTACATTACGGGAAGGTATCTCAGTGGTAATCTGTAAAACAATGTGCCCCATTTCAACGGTATACAGTACTGTGAAGAAAGCACAAAAGAGAATCATTTTCCTCTTATAGGATGGTAGTGCATACTAATTTAAATAAAATATTTTCTTTACTAGATATAATATTGAATTGGAATAATACTGAATTTCCAGTGGTAATACAAAATCCCTTAATAGAACCGGGGAGTTCAAAACAAAGGCCATTACAATCAAGAACCCAAAACTGAATCCAGATTGAGACAAGATGTTGATGATTGGAGATCTAAGGAACACTGGCTTTTGCCAGACTACACCAGCCCAAATCACACACTGCATCTGAAGAATCAGGTTCACAATTCGATAGTACTCCTAAATTACCGTATTTTTCACCCTATAGGACGCACTTTTTCCTCTCCAGGCTTCAGGAAGCTATCCGCAAGCCTTGCAAGCCCGGCGGGAGTTCCCGCGGGCTCGCAAGGCTTGCGGGCAGCAGCCTGCAGCCCACAAGCTCGGGGGACAGTGGGAGGCGGAGCGCCGCCATCCCGCTGTTCCCCGACCTGGTTTGGATTCCCCGACCTGGTTTGGGGGGGAATAAAGGGGGGGGAATTCCTTTATTTCCCCCCAAAAAAACTAGGTGCATCCTATGGGCCGGTGCGCCCTATGGGACGAAAAATACGGTAATATTGCCTTGCTCCCCTATGACTTTGTCAAAAAATCAAAGCGGATGCCAAAATGAATGAATGTTTTGAGAGGCAACTGAAACAATGGGGGGAGGGGAGGAACTGGCTATAAAGTGGATGTAATCGGTGCTGTATACAGTGGAACCTGGTTGTCAAACATAATCGATTCCAGAAGACTGTTGGACTTCCAAAACATTTGACAACTGAGGCTCAATGGGCTGTCGGAGAATTCAACTGAAAAAATAGAGAAACGAGCCTTGGCAGCCATTCGACTTCCGAGGTGCGTTCGAAAACGGAAGCATTCACTTCCAGGTTTTTGGTGTTTGGCTTCTGAAATGTTTGGCAGCCGAGATGTTTGAAAACCGAGGTTTGACTGTATTTGTAAAAGGTTGGAGAGGGAAAATATCTTTTATCAAATTGAAGATGCAGAAAATCAACACTTGAACATTGAATTGGCAATGTTATAGTTACCTCAGAGAAACCTACTTATGTTTCAATTGCAGCCATTTCTTTGTGGTGCTGACTAGGGCAAACCTACTGTTCAAGCTAAGCTGTTTTCCCCCACTGAATCAAAAACACCCTGAGAATTTTATTACAGGGTAGAATGCAAATACCAACAAGACATAAGCGATAACTGTGAGGCGGCAGGTAAGCAACAAGCTCTCTGTGCTGCTTCTGCCACTGTTTGTTGACAGTTAATGGTAGAAGTTCTTCCAGCCTCAAAAAATACACATAGATCTCCTACACACAGAACTTGGGGACACAACTCAGAGAAAAAGAGAAAAGAGAGAGGGTAGGCAATGGCTTTATTCTGCTGGCCCACTTGTTTATAAATTGGCAGGCAAGCATATGTTACCATAAACCTCATAAGTTCTAAACCTTAATTAAAATATTGAACAGAATGATATAAAAAGTGAACCAACTGACAATTAAAGAGGAAATAGATGCAAGTTATTTGGAGGGAATACTGAAATGATCCTAGCATTTATATAGGAATCAGATTCCATTGAAAAAGTTATAATATCAAGAGTTTTCACACAGAAGTAATAGATCAATTATATACAGTGGTGCCTCGCAAGACGAAATTAATTCGTTCTGTGAGTTTTGTCGTCTTGCGATTTTTTTCGTCTTGCGAAGCACGGTGTCGGGAAAGTTTTGGAAAAGCTTCAAAAATCACCAAAGTCTTTAAAAACCTCAAAAAAGGCTACCACATTGCGTTCTATGAGTTGCTCCTCGAAGTCAAGTCGCAACTGTATTAACGGTGTTAAGAAAAAGGAAACAAACTTGCAAGACGTTTCCGTCTTGCGAAGCAAGCCCATAGGGAAAATCGTCTTGCGAAGCAGCTCAAAAAACAAAAAACCCTTTCGTCTAGCGAGTTTTTTGTCTTGCGAGGCATTCGTCTTGCGAGGTACCACTGTAGTAGTGTACAGTGGTACCTCGGGTTACATACGCTTCAGGTTGCAGACTCCGCTAACTCAGAAATAGTACCTTGTGTTAAGAACTTTGCTTCAGGATGAGAACAGAAATCATGCTCCAGTGGCGTGGCAGCAGTGGGAGGCCCCATTGGTTAAAGTGGTGCTTCAGGTTAAGAACAGTTTCAGGTTAAGAACGGACCTCCGGAATGAATTAAGTACGTAACCAGAGGTACCACTGTATATAAAAAGCTAATAATTGGGACAAAGCTGGAAAAAGCTCTGGGAATTATTTTCCAGAGCAAAATAGTAGCTAAAAATATGCTGAAGTTTAGTATTACTTGAAAATAAATTACTTGTATAATTTATTTTCTATTGTTAAAAGCCAATTCTTGCTTTTACTGCAACCTACTTGATAAGTTAAGTGTGACCTGTGGACTTAACTACACTTATTTTGAGGATCAAAGACCAGTCTGAATGCGCATGAATTGTATCATACTAATCAGATTATTCAGAAAAGTTAAATACACTGAAATAAAAACAATATAATTTAATAAGTTAAAAACTTGTGTAAAAACTGTGTTATTTCATTATTCTCCAGAGCATGTTGTGTTTTTGGTGTGTTATTTTATCATTTGACAAAAAACCCAAAAACCCCTCATGTGCATTCACATTTTTAGATATTAAAAATACATAATACCAAATTGTATACAATTGTATACAAGAGTATTGCATACAAGAGTAGAATGAAAGCATTACCTTGAGTTGGCAGAGAGAGCTGCTCCTGAGGCTTTTCTTGTGACAAGAGACCCAAATAGCTGAGGACAACATATTTTGTTTCATAGTGAAAACCTACAGGCACAGTAGTAGAAGATGCCATTTGGTTGGCTTCCAATGCCCCACAGGATTATGAGCTATGTAATTTTCTCTGTTTAAGATCTGAAAAATTAAGAATCAAAATGAAACAATGTAATCAGAATCATATTCAGATTATGTACACACATGCAAGACAGACAAAATACAAAATGCAATTGTGCCAGAACTTATCAGCACCGGCCAGACAGAGCATCATTTGAGAGGGTACATAGGTGGCAGGTTAAATCCATATCTCTTCCTCCCACTGAAAGTAGCCCATTGGCAAGTTGCTTTTCAAACATTCCTATGGTATGTCAAACAGCAGTTGAACAATCTACGGAAACACATAGCAGGTGAAATAAATATTCTACTTCTTCCCCAGAGAGAAAGAAGAGGAAGATGCAGAACACTGCTACATAACTGTACTGTATTCAAAATTACTAAGGTTCAGAAAGAATTATATCAGTAGTTCTTTTGAAAGTTTATGCACATTTCTGCAGGTTTATTTGATCATAGCAGAACTGAATTAATTCTGGTTGAATTCCCACAATGTCCTTAATTCAGTGACACTACTTTGGACTCACTGAGGGAAATTTAAATAGTAGTTCCCAGACCATTTTTTAAAGAGATGTTTCAGAATTCAATGACAAATTAAAATGTGACTTCCCTATTTTGTCATGTCAAATGCTCTTCAGAGACACTACTTGAAAACAATTGTTCAGATGCAGTCATCACTGCCATATCCTGTAGTGTAAAATCTAACAGATATAATTCATTCAGCCTCTCTATAAGGAAAAGGTAAAGCTGTTTACTGGGCAGCATCAGTTTCTAACATTTAGAATTAATTCATTTTTGTAAGTAGAACACTACCACTTTTAGACAACTCAGGAAGCCTCACCTCTTTTCATATTATTTAGTATACCTGGAATCCTTTGCAGGCTATTTCCCATGCTTGAAGCCCTTGCTGCGTAATTTTTTTAATAGCTATGAATCATGTTAAAAATAGCAAGCAAAAGATTGGGGGGGGGAATATTATTGTAGTTATGAAACAAATGTAACACCTTTTGTGGCAAAATGCTGTCAACTCCTACTGTATGCCCCACTATACAGTGCTACCTCAGGTTACATACGCTTCAGGTTACAGACTCCGCTAATCCAGAAATAATACCTCAGGTTAAGAACTTTGCTTCAGGATGAGAACAGAAATCATGTGGAGGCAGCGGGAGGCCCCATTAGCTAAAGTGGTGCTTCAGGTTAAGAACACTTTCAGGTTAAGAACAGACCTCCAGAATGAATTAAGTTCTTAACCCGAGGTACCACTGTAATACTACTTCTGGGATGGAAGAACAGAATTACAGTAGATGTGGCAATGGGACTTGCCAATAGAATCAACTAAAATGTAATGAAGTAGTGACACTTTTGACATTTTAAATCCAAATAAAGATATTTTTCAACTGTGGCTTTTGGATTTCTGCTAAAAGATCAACAGGTATCTATGCTTTTAAGAAGAATTTGCATTATATGTTCAGCCCTGACCTTAGACAAAGCAATTAAGATTGCTACCTCCCCATTTCAACCACGGAATCCATTCCAAGACATTGAAGTTAACGAAGTAAAATTTACAATATATAAGTGAATTTATGGGCAGCATCTCCTTGCACACCACATCAAACACTAAAATCTTTCATTATCCATTTGACTTTGAGCTGCTTGGAAAAATCGAGTCAGTCAGATGGGTATCTCCAGATGCTTCGAGTGATCCTAATCCACAAATGGATTACATATCAATTATACAGAAATGCAATGGTTAACAATGAATAAACAGTTATAATCCTCTTATAAAAAGGGCTTTGCTATGTTTGCACTTACCACAAAAATATTTCAACCCCAAAGGAGTAACCATGTTAGTCTGTGATAGCAAAAGAAACTAAGAGTCTTGTGGCATCTTAAAGACTAGCAAATTTATGAAGGCAAAAGCTTTCATAGGCTACAGTTCACTCCATCGGATACATGGAATGTTTTTCCAAGTTGGCAGGTATAATAAACATGGGTGTACTTGCTAACTTGGGATAGCATTCCATGCATCTGATGAAGTGGACTGTAGTTCCCAAAAGTTTATACCATAAACAAGTTTGTTGGTCTTTAAAGAGCCACAAGACTTTATTGTTTCATAAGAATTAAATCTGCCATGAAGCTCACTGAATAATCTTCAGCCAGTCTGTCTCTCAGACTGACCTACTGCACAGGGTTGTTGTATGGATTAAAAAAAGAGAACCATGTATGCCACTTAGGCTCCTTGGAAGAAAGGTGGAACACAAATGTAATTTAAAAAATTGTATAAATATGTAATATGCAATTGCTTCAAAACTGTGATACTCTTAAGACTGTTTACATTTCACCATATAATTTTGTAGATGTATAATTTGATTCAATTGGAGTCAAGCACTGCTACTTACACTTTTAATGCTTTTTTATTGTCTAGAATATGAAGGCTTATCAGAGACCCTGAAGCATTATGCAAGACTTCAGTGTCCTAAGACACAGCTTTGAAGTCTATTCTGTTTCACAATTAGGCAGAATATAAATCATCCAAATCATTGACCATAATTTTAAAAAGTCACAATAGCAAACTTCGTTTGCAACAAGTTGCCCCCTTTTGTGTACCTGTCACTGACATGGTTCACAATCCGGGTTCAATCCTCAATTCCAGGTGGGGCAGGGAGTGACCCCAGTCTGAAATCTGGAAATGCTTCTGCTAGTCAATGTGTAGACAATAGCAAGCTTGAAGGCTCAATGGCCTGACTCAGTATAAGGCAGTTTCCTGCATTCCTAATATGAAAAAGCAGTGTTCTCAAAGTGTGTTTGATACCTGGGATGCCTGGGATAGCTAAGTTGGTAGAGCACGAGACTCTTAATCTCGGGGTTGTGGGTTTGAGCCCCCGTTGGGCAAAAGATTGCTTCACTGCAGAGAGTTGGACTACATGACCCTCATGGTCCCTTCCAACTCTACAATTCTCTGGTGCAAAGAAACAAACCACAAGCCTGGATTTAGATGACAAGCCAGATCATGCCTTGTTTCCTGCCAGTGTGGCAGCAGTAGGAGCAGGGAGGGAACAAAGCTCTTGCTACTTCAGTAGCATGTGCTATCATACTGCTCCTCCACATTCAACCGCAGCAGTTAAACTATGGTTCAGTCTGATGTGCAAAGAAGACCAGTTCTCATCCAATTGAGTCTTCCAATACAGAACTAAACCACATGATAGCTATATAGCCTTGTGGCTTAACATGACTTGCACACTTGACATTAGATTACAAAGTTAGTTTGGTTAGGTGAGCTTTGAGCTTGTTGGGAATTTTCCACAAGGATATGTATATATTGAAAACGCCTATTTCAAATACAACTTGTCTGCATTGCATATCTAGCCCCCCCCCCAGTGCAGTTCACCTTCCAAATTTTATTTCATTTTAAAGCTTTACCTCTGCACATTAGATACCAGGGAAAAATTATAGGCAGAAGTTTGTAAAATACTATCCATGTTTACTGGCAACATTGTAGTAACTGACATTCAAGAATTACCTCATTTATCTATGAACATCTGGTTCTGTGGAATTTTGAAAATTGAAGTGTATCTATCATAGTTACACCATTTCCTCAAAAGACTGAAACAGTGGGGTGGGGTGGTAGAACAAAAGCCTTAGTACTTTATCTGAGCTGTGGTTTTAGTTTATACTGCCACAATCTTCTATAAACAAGAGACGCTTTCAATGGATTTAACTGAATTATCTCCCACGAAGGTTTCATGTTTTCCATACTTTGAACTCTCCTTTCCATACATCTAACCCACATCAATTCAATAATGTATCCATGTGCCGTGAAAGTACATTTCTTAATATGAGCAATTAAAATGTTAAAGAGTAAAAGTCATATTTTCAAAGTCTCCTTCACAAATGTAAAGTAAGCAGAAAGACTGAGCAAACCTCAAGATAACTACAATGATGAGCAATGTTAGAAGCACACCTAGCTAGATATGTGTGGTTTTTTATAAAAAAAATCAAAGCAAGATGTTGATCAACAATATCCATCCAAAAGAAATGTGCCACAACAGTACATATAAGCAAACATACCAATGAAAGATTATATCACTTTTCAGAAAGTTTCAGCAACTGCAGACAACTCTGGAGTTCTAAGCAGGTACTGTACTGTACTTCTGAATGTGAAGGTTTGCCAGCTCACAAACAATAGCAGTAGACAGTACATAGGGCCAGGGTTTAAGCACAGCCTTCTCTTGTAAGGATAAATTTGAAAGAGCACCAAGCATCGGTGCTGCCTTCCCTCCTCCCATCATCACACCCATGCGAAGAACGCCATTCTTACCAACTGTTGAGGAAATGCAGCTGTAAAGCAGGGAGATGCTAACGAGAAGAAAAAGCAGCACAAGTGCACGCAAGCACGAGCACGTTCACACACCCCTCCTCCAGCAGCAGCAGCAATCAGCAGCAGCTCTCTCTGGGAGCAGAAGAGATCTGGCAGCTGACAGGGCACACCATTGTCAACAACGCTGACCCTGCTCAGTCCCCGGGAGGAGGGGCCTGTCCTTCAACCGCTTCAAACAGAGGGGAGATAACTAGGATTTTACGCCACGCATTGGGGGGCGGGCGCTCCTACTGACCGACAATAGCCAACCTACATTTTAATAACTATTTAAAAGAGGGGGGTGGGGAGAGGGCTGGCACTGCATTCCCTGACCACCTTATTAAAAACTCGAGAACGACGGGAAAGAACATGGGGAGAAACAACCCACACCACACACACAACAAGCAACACTCCCCCCCCACCTCAGCCGGTCCCCCTTTTCCTTGACGGGAGGAGGGGGAATTAGTTTGCCCTTCAAAAGAAAAACCGCCCGAAGACGCAAGTGCCGGGAAAAGTCCCGCCTTTCACGCACGTGAACCGTGGATAAGGGACGCGGGTGAGGAGGCGAGAGGCCATGAGGGAAACACCAACCTCAAGTAGGGGGGTAGGGAGCCTATGAAGAAGACTCTACACAGGACGAGGGTGGGGTGGGCAGAAACCACCACAGTGAATATTTTGTGTGTGTTTTAAAGGAGAAGCCAGGCGGCGGTAGGGAAGGGGTGGAAGAAGCGACCGCCTCCCCACCCACCTCAATAGGGGCTGCCGCCAACCGCCCGGAGCGCGCGCCCAAAGCAGGTCGCCCAACCGCCCACACCGTGACCTCGCGCGCGAGGAGACTGAGGCGCTCGGCTCTCTCCCCCTCCGCCCCGCCCCTCCGGAGTGTGTTTTTGTTTTGCTTACCCGAGTCTCACGAGGACGGCCGGGAAGAGCGCTGGGTCCAAGCCAAGAGGAATACGTCCGAGCCGCGGGGCCGCGTTACGATATATACATGTACGCGCTTGGATGAAGGTTTATATATGTATATATGCGTGTTTGTGTATATGTAGGTATATGCGTGCGTGTGTGTGCGCGCGCGCGCAACGCTTTTCCAGTCAGCCCTTAAATGAAAGCCTCCATCGCCGCCATGATAGAGGAGGGCAAAAAAAAAAAAAAGCAGCGGCTGTCGGAGGCCCGCCTCAAACGCTTGCGGGCGTCATGGCGCCATCGCGACGGAACGGCGCCTAGGCGTGCTCGTTCGCTCCCAGCTCGGCCGCCTGTGCGGTCGCCGAGGCCTTTGAGATAGGAAAAAAGGGTAGAGCGGTACACAGCCTGGACTTCCGGTCACAAAGCGAACTGTAGCAAACTCAATACAGTATACGATTTTCACTGGCAAGAACGAGCTGATTTGATGCTTATAGGATCTACTTCAATAGAAACCGCCCACCCCTCAAGTCCACCTGCTGGAGCCAGGTGCAAGCACGAAGTGCAAGTAAATAAATAGGCACCGCTTCGGCGGGAAGGTTCGTCAGAAGTGGCTTAGTCATGCTGGCCACATGAACCCGAAGCTGTACGCCGGCTTCCTCAGCCAGTAAAGCGAGATGGTCAGGGGTCCCTTTACTTTTACCTGAGCTTTAGCATAATTTGGCCCAGCCTGTTTTCTTTGTGTTTAATTCCCTTTGGGCCTCATTGTTTACTTGTCTTTGTGCCTACACTGTTGATGGTTGCTAACCGAAGATTGAATTAATTACTTTTTAATTAATAAAAAGTCCACACATTCTTGAATTTTCAGAGAGGCCTTGCACAAGTTACTTATCTCTCAGCATTAGTTTCTAATCAGTAACAGAATAATAACTACTTATTTCAACAAGTAAAGGAGGCCATACTGATCCATAAGAAAACAGCCAAGATCCATGGTCAGACATTACTTTTGTTAGGACCACTCAAAACGTCACAAAACAGCAAGCAAGCTTCTGAATTTTGCATAAGTCTTCATTTGGATGGAGGCTGAGCAATAGGGTTTGGGAGAGCTACCTTGTTGCTGAAGCTACAAAGTCTACATCCACTCAGCCTTAAAATGTAATGTGTGTAGGCGGAGATAGCAGACTTAATATGATTAGGCTCTTAGACACTGCCGGTTTCACGTTACAGCTTGAGCTGCTGTGACAAGGAAAAAGGCACATTGACTGACCCAACCCCTATTCCCATTTCTAGCCTAACCTCCAGCCTGTAATAGTGTTTCAGGGAGCAGACATAGAACTTAGGAACTGGATTTGCAAATAATAATAATAATAATAATAATAATAATAATAATAATAATAATTTATTTATATCTCGCCCTCCCCAGCTGAAGCCAGGCTCAGAGTGGCTAACAACAGTAAAATAATACAGCATTCTAAAATCAATTCATTATAAAATCATTTCAAATCAAATTGATGCAACCATTGGGCTAGAGTTCTGTGAAGAAATTACCAAAGGCTGTGCCTTGGCCAAAGGCCTGGTGGAACAGGTCTGTCTTGCAGGCCCTGCAGAAAGATGTCAGGTCCCACAAAGCCCTAGTCTCTTGTGACAGAGCGTTCCACCGAAAAAGCCCTGGCTCTGGTTGAGGCCAGCCTAACTTCTCTGTGGCCCGGGACCTCCAAGATGTTTTTGTTTGCAGACTGTAAGGTCCTCCGTGGGACATACCAGGAGAGTTGGTCCCGTAGGTACGTGCTCAACCTAGGAATATGTTTTCCAAACCAGAACTGCAATCTGAATTGATTCACTTGAAAATCTACTCCTGGTTTTCTTTCAACAGCCTAATTAAGGAGTAAGCTCTTGCTGTTGCTGAAACATTTAGGAATTAGAAACATTTGCTGGTCTACTGCAAATAATTCAGAGACCCATGAACAGAGTTCCACCCTACTTGTAAGCACTGTCAGACTCATCCCTGCCCTCAACTGCTGCCCTGGGCTTCTTTGGGAGGACTGACTGCTTTTAATTAAAGAGCTGATGTTGTAATGTTTTTATTGTAATTACTTGTATAGTTTAATTTATTTTTTATTGTTACACTCCACCCCAATCTCCACAGCAGTGCAAGATTCCAGGAGTCCAAGCACTTACCCGGAGTTTCTGTTCCCTCCAGAAATGAGGCACAGCGGAGACAGTGATGTTTTTTATGATACATGGTTTATTCATATGCACTGCTCAGGCTTGCACCCCAGAATCACTCCAGTGCTGCAAACAACCTGAGTCTAGATGGAAAGAAAAACATCCCAAGAGGGTCCTGTTCCTCTCTGCAGCATAAAACAGATTAACTTCCTCCTGCTCTACTCCACACCTCACCCCAGCCTGCAAAAGTGACTTACCTCTTTGCCCACTACAATTCTGTCCTTCCCTCCTGAACCGCTGGCCTTTTGTCTCTGCTAACTGTCTCCTAAAGGGTTAATGGCTAGACCATCATCAGTCTGTTTGGCACAGTTTAGTCAAACCATGATGAATTAAAACTTTACTGAATTTAAGAATTATGGGCGACTTGCACCCACAAACACTGGTACCCCAAACCTATAACTATAGCGTTTATTTCTATTGGTGTTTGTTGTTTAATGATTATTATTTTCCTAGCTGTTCTTATTTTTATCTGTAAGCTGCCTTGAGTCCCTGTCATGGAAAAAGGCAAATTATTATTATTATTATTATTATTATTATTATTATTATTATTATTATTAACAACAGCAACATACTGAATAAGTAATAAATATCACAGCTGTAACAAGTATATAACATGGAACTACACTGCAGGTTTACTGCAATCCATACTCTGCTACACATCCTCACCCACTCACCCGAAAAAAACCCTTTCAATAAACGATAAAGTTGGTTACTAGTACTCAGTTTCTAATATTTGCGCGCAAGTTAGAAACCCAAGGAGAGCACTATTTAAGAAGCCCAAGCAGAAAACTCATTTGAGATATGGAACATGAAGCTTGCGTGGGCACTACTATTTGCGTGGGCACTACTACCTCGAAATCAACCATGAAAGTTTGAATGACAAAGAGCTACTCCCTTTCCTGACACCTTTCATTTTGAGGAGGCCTTCCTAACCATAAACGCAGGAACATGTCGGGGTTGCTCTACAAATTTCTCTGGGCGGTTCCTTAGGTGGCGATTTGGGGAACTCTGCTCAACGCGAGCCCGGAAGTTCTCTACACTAAGGCACTCTATATTCTTTTATTTATCGCTGCGATAGCCGTGACTTCAGAGTCGGGATGTGAAACGTCATCACGTAAGCGCGGGCGCACTTGGCGGCGTCGGGACGGACCCTGCCTCCCCATTGGCGCATTGCCAGGGGGTAAGGGGCGGGGACACGGTGACGAAGGAAGGATGGGCGGAGACTTGCGTCAGCTGCTGAATGACCCGAACCGGATTTGATCCCATTCCCTTCCAGCCTTCCAAGGAGCTCGGCCCGAGCGGACGCCTTGCCTTGCCTTGATTGTCCTGTTCGTCTGCGTCCACATTCTCCTCCGCTCGCTCTCACAATGGCGCTCAGCGATGACGACGTCAAGAAGCAGGTACTGTGGGTGGGGGGCCCTGAGGAGAGACCCTCCTTATCAACCCCATCCGGCCTCTCCCTTCTCTCGCGGCCCTGAGCCCCCTGGGCCGGGCTGTCATGTGACGTGCGTCCTTTTCTCTAAGCCGTGGAAAAGGGAATTCAGCGGTTGAAATTATTGTGGCGGGGGGGTCCTACTCCCAGGGAAATACCTTTTGCACCCTGAGAGTCTGAAGAGCTGCTCTGTGGGTGGGTTGAGAGAATGTGTCAGGGCCTGGGTTTTGCTTTGATTTCTGCATTAGTTTCTGTTCTCAAATAATTGCATCTTGTTTCCTTATGGTTAAGTGTTCTTTGGATACCGCCCTGCTGTATCTTCGGCAGTGAAACACTGGCTGGACGCGCTTTCCTTGGAGGTTTTTAAGCAGAGGTCAGATGGCCCTCTGTCATGTATGACCTCGTTGAGATTCCTGCATTGCAGGGGGGTTGGACTTGATGACCTGTGAGGTCCCTTCCAACTCTACAGTTCTGTGATTTTTAAGGGTAATGGGTTGCTTGAATTTTTCTCCTTCAAAAAAAACCCAAAGGTTTAATAGAGAGCCAGTGTGGTGTAGCACTAAGTGTGCTTGGCCTGTGACCTGGGTTCAGATCCTCACTCAGGCATGAAGCTGATCATGGCCTAACCTACTCTCCTGGGGTTGTCAAAAGGACAAAATTAGGAGGAGAGAGCCAGGTGTTCCACCTTGAGCTTCTTGGAGGAGAAGGTGGTATACAACAGTAATCAATAAAACAATAACTGTTTGGCTTCGTCCTATGTATGCTCAGTTTCAGTGTTAACCCCTTCTACTCCTAAATCCCACTGGGAAAGTCCACCTTGGCTTTCTTCTGAATCAACATGCATAGGCTGAAGCTGTAGAAGTGTACATGCATGACACTTTCAACACAATCCTTGTGAGGTTTATTCAGAAGCAAGCTTCACTGTGTTCAATGAAACATCCTCCTAAACACCTTTTTGAATATCTGCCGTGTTATTTATGTGCACAGGAAAATAGTTAATGTGGGATAAAAAGGGGAAGAGATCCACTTTATAATCCAGTACCCCTGGCAGTAAGTGACCAGAGCAGGAAAGTCCTTTTGTACATTTACTTGGTAGTAAATTCCCACTTAGTTCATTGGGGTTTCTTCTCAAGTAAAACTTTGCATGAGGTTGGGCAGAATACCTGTTGAATTTGGGACTTCCAGGTAAATCTGGTTACTACTGTGCTGCAATGGGATTTAACCTTGAAGCTGAAATTCATGTGTGTATTTTTTGTTGAGGGGGGCATGAGGTAAGAAGAAAAGCTTGTTACATTAGAAATGTTCACCACCTAATATGCAAGATTACATGGTTGTGTTCTTAATGAATAAACATGAAAAGTTATCCCCTCCCCAGTTCTTTGTGCCCAAACAGGAACACCCTGTTGCACACATTTTGAGTTTTTGAGATGTACTGAGAAGGTGGGGAAAGGTACTTTTGATTACCATGGTTATGGTTCTCACAGTGTCATGTCCTACCTTGTCCGTTGAGTATGTGTCCTTGAACCGAAGTGTTTGCAGTAAAAATGACTAAGTATATCTCAAGCAGTGGATAGATGGAAAATGTTTGCTGTTCACAAAAGGTTGTGGTCTTGTGCCCAGTCCTATCTTCCTTTGTTTCCATATTCAAAACTATCAATACATAGTGTTATTACCAGTGTAAGATTAATGGTTTCTTCGTGGATAGGATAGAAATGAGTGAGGATTTGCTGTGTAGTAGAAGATGCTCAAGGGAAGTTGCAAAATCATTTGCAAAGTAAAAATTGGCTGAGTTTGAGGGGAGGATGACTATTGGGTGGAAAAGTTGGATATAAATGGATTTAGACAGGAAGCTAAAGTGTCTTACTATTGAATTAGACACAGTAAAGGAAGGACAAATATTTGTATTTTAGCTATTTTTTAAATGGGCTTTGAGAGAATCCAGCTAGAACCAATTTGTAGCCAAGGGTTCTTGTGGCATTAATGATAGACCTTGGGTGCTCGCAAGCCATAATATGGTGCCACTGCTACTTGTTACTTTCACTTGTATACCAAGGGGCACCAAAAACGGGATAAAAACATTTCTTTAAAAGACAAGCTTGCTTTGAAGTGTGACTGCTCAGCCATTGACGAAAGACACATAAATTCTCTGCTTATACTGCTTACTTCTGGACTAGATGCCTATCAGTAAGACGTGTTTTATCCCAACATAATGGTTTGATTGTAAACAGAGGATATCTTTTGGAACTCTCTTGTAAGAGGGCAGAGGAATGTTTCATCTTCAGACTATGAAACTAGAAGTGAGTGAAGTAAGCCTTGTAGCTTCATGTTTGAAATAATTTGGAAGAGAGAAGCACGTGTGAAATTCATTATAAAGGGACAGCAGGGTTATTTTCACTTCGTGTATGCGTGGGGAAAGATCTGGAAAAGCCCATTATTAAGACTCACATTAACTGATGAAAATAGGAAGTTCTGGTCCCAGCAACTGAACCTTTGGAGAATGTGGAATTTGTAACATTTAACTCTTAAATGGTTCATTGTGGCCTTTTTAATACCAAATACCACTTTGAGGGCTTCTGCAGAAAATTAATAATATTGATCTTCGGGAGTTATATATATATGAAAATAGCAACAACACTCAGTTAAAATAGTCATTTTCCTGAAGGAACATTTGCACAATGGAATTTTTTGATATACAGTGCATGTGATTTGGCTGTCCTTTAGAGCTTGTCCTGTTGACTGTAAATAGTGTCCTTCCTAGTAGAACTGCCCTGAGCTAGGTTTGGGATGGAATATTGTGCTGAACTCTGCATAGATCCAGCCAGTGCTGGTAAAACATTGTCCCTTCACAGCTGACAGGCAGAGTACATAAGTTTTACTTAGTGTTTAACATCCATGAGCTGAGCCTTTCTTCACATAAGTGACCACTGTATGCTTCTTGCTGTTATTAAGAGGTTTACTTTGGGAGCAGGTCAATTTTTTTTTGAGCCCAGATACCAGTTCTCCAGTATCTCAGGAAGAGAGCTTTCCCATCACCTGATCTTCCAGCCAGAGATGTTGGATATCGGGACTTCTCCAATGCCAGGAAAAGGACCATAGCTCAGTGGTCATTGTATCACCACTGCAGACATACAGAAGTTTACAAACAGTGTTTCAAAAACTCCCATTGTTCTATGTACATTTTGTGACATGGCAGTTCATTAGCACCAAGCAGTTTCTGAGCTCTGGGTGCAGTACTGCGCCAAAGATTTAGAGATTAAAACTGCAGTAATGGAAGGAAAGGAGGGCCTTTTTCTGCCTCCCCACTTCCAGCTACTCTCCGAAGACTGGAGAAGGGAACCCTCTTATGAATATTAGTGGGGTGGGCAGTGGAAGGACTAGACCATGAGAAAATGAAACACAAGTATTTTAGGCTGCAGTCATTCATTTTCAGTTTTGTACTCTTCTTATAAAAAAAGCACGCCTAGAATTTCCATTATTGCACCCATAACCTAGGTCTTAAGGGCCATTTACTCCAAGCTTTCATATCTCAAGTTTCATATCTCAGTTGTGACATTTGAACGTGGTATTCACCCTCCATTGAAACATGAAGTCCTTCATTTGACGGCCTACACTGGAACATTTAAGATCACAACTATCAGCTGATATTTTTCTTTCTTTCCCAAACAACTGTTAAGCTCTGTATTCCGTTTGTGGGTATGTTCTGTTAACTGAAACTAAGAATTGGTAAACAATTTTTTAAAAAAAAACGAGCTTGAATATTTGGAAGCTCATTTTTCGGTCTTGGTGGCAAAAAACCCCCACTTGTAACACATAGGTTGTGAGAAATCCTGGGTGTTGAAAAGCAAAAATGTTCCTGCAGGCTTTCATGGAAAATATAACTCTCCTTTCTGTTACAGATCAAGCACATGATGGCTTTCATTGAACAGGAAGCCAACGAGAAGGCAGAAGAAATAGATGCTAAGGTAAACAAAAAGTATCTGTATCTTTCCTGCATGTGGAACTTCCATAAAAGATGTTGGCTTCTTCAGATAACTAAAAGCTCATTTGTGGCAAGCTGAATGTTTGCCAGTCCTCCTCCTGATATGTCTCAATGAGCCCTATGTGTGGATGCACAAAACTTTTTAACACTGTATCACCAACAAAGAAGGTGAGGGGTTATGATTGGTGTCTAAAGTGAACATAAAGCATGATCTGTGCATCTGTACTTAGATGTAAATCCCACTGAATTCAGTGGTGCTTCCTCCCAGGTAAGTGTGCATAGGATTGCAGCCTAACATTCCTCTCTAGTTTAGTAGTCTTGAATACAGAAATCAGTTTTCATGTATACATACTCTAGCAGTTAGAATTTAGTAAAAGTTTTAAAAGGGAACGGAAGTGTAGGATGCTGGGACCAAATGAAGTTTCAGTTGCTAGTGAAGACATTCATTAGCTATGAGAGCAATAGATCTTTCCAAGACGCCCCCATGTATAAGACGCCCCCTATTTTGGGGGACTCTGATTTAAGAAAATAGGGGGAGGTCTATCCCTGTAAAAGACACCCCCAAATTTTGGACATTATGTTTTAGGGGGGGACCTAGGCTTATGCATGGAAAAATACGGTAATTGGATTTTGCAGTGTTTTGCAAAACACCCTATTTTAGTAGAAAAAGCAGCATATATCCCAGATGGAGTCTTATTCTTCCTAACAGGCTGAAGAAGAATTCAACATTGAGAAAGGTCGTCTTGTTCAGACACAGAGACTGAAAATAATGGAATACTATGAAAAGAAAGAAAAACAAATTGAACAGCAGAAGAAAATGTAAGTAGTCTGCTGTGACTTTTAACATATTCTTGGTTGCAAGTAGCCAACATGGTATGTAGTTTAACTGGAACTAGAGGAGAGGTAATTCTGCAGACAACATGTCATTTCCTGAGGGAAGTGATGAGACCCTGAATAAGTTCTCCCCTCCTTAAATAAATAAATAAAATCCTGAAGCAAGAGTATGATGTGTTGATGAAAAGTACCTCTGTTCCAGCCACCTTAATTTCTGCATCCACTTGTGTCCATCAGAATGAATTGCAGTCATGGTCCTGCTCACTGGTAAATTGTAATAAAAATGCAGTAAGTAGTGGTCTTTAATGTAAGAAACAATGTCACTCCATATAAAGTGATCTCAAATAAATAGCTGCCTATTGCTGTTTAAGCAGAGATTTGTGTGTGATCATCTGAGTAAGTCTTGGTGGTGGGTTAAATAGATTCCAGAAGTGGACTGACATTATGAGAGTTGGGGAAAGGGTGTTTACAAAGAGCTTTACTTTGGGCCTGTCTGGATCCAATATGGGGTATGCTTGGGGGGGAGGAGTGTGTAATAAATGACTGCTGGTTAGACTGTCTGAAGCTTATGGCACTCAGTTCTGTTTTTCCATCTGACTTGCAGTCAGATGTCCAACCTGATGAATCAGGCAAGACTGAAGGTCCTCAAAGCAAGGGATGATCTGATTGCCGTAAGTATATACTTCCCTTTATAAAAGAATGAAGATTCTTGCCATTTGTCTGACTCACAACTGGTGTCTTAAAAAAACAAAACTTTCAGGTTTCACTCTTGGGGGCCTATTTGATGTAGAAAATACTTGGGTTTGGAACTTGTATGTTGTTGTAGGTCCATATATACTATAAATGGAAGGTAATACTGATCTTACTTTCTGCTATACTTGAGAATAAATAAGAAGTAAAGGATGCATTCTGCTTATTCTCTGTTTTCAGCCTGTTCATTGCTCCCCCCCCCCCACTAGCATTTAACTCTTGCACAATACAACAGTGTGGGGAAAGAGAAAGTAATCATATTCAGTGGCATGTTAATGGGGAGGAATTCCTCCTAAAATGGTAGAATGGGTGAGCCTGTTCTAGTTCTTAAGGTTGCACTACTTCAGGTGAGGGTTTATGTGAGTTAATGGTCCTCTGTACAGAGCAACTTCCTGAATACAGAAAATTAGCATGTCAGGGGAAAGTTTCCATATTTTCTCCTGATGCATTAGTATTGTTTTTGCTGGATTCTGATTTTGTTTGATGTTTAATAAGGAACACCTCCAGCATTGCCTTCTTGCCTAATTCTGCTTTTAACAGGCATGACAGTATAAAACATAGTTACAAAACATTCCCCTTTTTTCTGCTGGTTATTTGGGTTAGAAATACATTGGCTTAAATTAAAAATGAGCTGGAGGGCTACAGTTAATGTGTGTGTCACTACAAAATGCCTTTTGCTCACTCTACTGTTAGGTGAGAGTGGTAGAATGATACTCCATATACAGAGCTCACTGCAGTAGAAATTTCATTGTTTAATTCCTGTTTCCCTTAACAATTCAGAATACTGTATCACTTTTTAGAGAGAAAGTTGTCCCTTTTGCAATTTGACTCTGATATAAGAATTGATTCTGGCAGGATGTGCTAACACTTGCTGTACATGTTGTGGAGAGGGCTGAAGGAAAAAGGCTAAGAAATATGAATTCTTTCACAATCAACTCAAACAGCTCAGTCACATGCTTGTGATGCATGAAATGCTCCAACTTCCTCTTTATGTCATAACTTTATATTTGTACTAGATAAGGGCTGGAAGGAAATTTCAGGAATTCAGTCAAAAATGAAAAACTATAATATAGTGTTGAACTGTAGTATGACTGAATAACAGAACCCAGAACAGGGCAAGCTTGGTTCTGTAGAATAAAGTAAATTGACTGCAGTCTGGGATATATTACAATGGAAGGGAGCCTTATTCAAAATACTGGTATTATTAGGTGCAGACCTAGACCCCCCCCCATGGTGTCCTCAAATGCCCCCTTTTGCTTGCTTCTATATATGTGGGTGCTGCTCACTTATAGGGGGGTAATAAATCACGATACTTGGGGACAAGATTTTTGTGCGGAATTACTTTTCCTCCACCCATGGCAGTGTGGCCTGGTCTCTGTCAGGTTTCTGCATATGCGTGTTGGACCAACAGTTGCACAGTCCTTTAGTCTTCTATGAATCATAATGGTCATTTCACTAATGACTATATAAAATGGCCCTGTTACAAGTTAAATGTTCACAGTGGTAGTAAGACTTAATTTTTCCACCCCAGATTATGTTTAAAGGATTGTCTCTGGAAAGGCTATTTGTTGCTTGTGTTCTTAAAGCTGAGGGATGCGTCAATTACAATTAAATGCCTTAACTGAGTCTGTGCATTGGGAACTGGGGTTGGGGCAGAGGAGGCCTGCCTGAGGTTTAGTGTTTGACTGAAGGACATGGTGTGATCTTTTCTATCCACATTTTTCTCTCGTCGTAGGATTTGCTGAATGATGCCAAGCAGAGACTGGCTAAAGTAGTAAAGGATACTGGCAGGTACCAGAGTCTGTTGGATGGATTAGTTCTACAGGTAAACATATTCCATGCTTCCTACAGACACTTCCCTGTAAAATAACTTGCATCTTTATGGTCTCCTTTTAGTTGTGGATATAGACCTCTTAAATCCATACTATCAACTCTCCTTTGTATTTCTTAGGATGTTTCCCAGTTAAATTCCCTACCTCTGGTTTCTCTAAGCTTGAGACAGCACTCAAACATGTATATAGTATGTAATCTACTAACTCCAATGCGACATGAAATGGTCAAGTTCTTATCTTCGCTAAAATTTCTACCTTTGCCACTTGTCTCCCTAAATGTGCTTGTATCCATTAAGTTCAGCAGAGAAAGACCACCTCCATTTCTCCATTCAGAATGTTAAACTGCTAAAGCAGAACTTTTTACATTTTGGGCCTTCAACTCTGGAAGCTGTTACCCAGAGAGGCCTACCCAACCCAAGTTTTGTACTCCTTTTTGGCAAACCTTCCGCATTAGGCTAATTAAGTCCAGTATTGTGTGAATTTAAATTAAATATGTTTTAATTGTCCTGGTGTTTGTAAAGGTGTTCATTAAACTTAAGGGATTTGTCAACTCGGATTGTATAAATTTTGCAAGCCACATTAAGCTCTTGTTCTATTTTTAAAAGGGGTTTTATCAGTTACTTGAGCCTTCAATGACTGTCCGATGCCGGAAACAGGATCTTCAATTGGTTAAGGTAAGTTGTGTTTTTTTACTAAATGGTCATAAAATAGTGTCTGGTGGCTGATAAGCTCCTTGGTGTAAAACCACACAATAAATGTATAGTTAAAGTAGCAGGGGGGTGGGGACAGAACCCAAATTTGATCAGAGATGTGGCATGAGGTAGATGTGTTATCCCATACAGTTTTCCTGGTCTAAATAACTACTTTCCCTTCCCTACCTCTTTGGTCCTGCTGCTGAAAATACTTAGATATTAATGCTGTTAGGTTTTGGTGGCTCTGCCACTGAGCTGTCACTCCTCCCTCTATGCACATCCAGTTTGTGCAGGGCCCTTGTCAACAACAGATGTATGCAATTTATCTGCATTGTTCTGCAAATTGAATAGCACACCCTCAAGGAAGTGCCTGAATTGAACATGGAAAGCTGCCTTTCATGTGCTGAATGAAACCACCTTGGTCCATCTAGCTCAGTTCCAATTCGCTAGACTTGCAGTGAAACAACATGAGTTCTTCAATTGAAATCTGAATGTAATCCCATAAGGGACAAATCAGAGCTTGTGTTCTACCAATGATAGGCTTGCCATATTTCAAAATTCATGACACCCACAAAGTTGTTGAGCTCTTTTCAAAAACCCATCAAAATTGTTGAGCTTTTAATCTTTTGGAGCTGTTTCCACTGCTTTTTCAATCGCCTTGCAATACATCCAGGTTTTCCCTGATATTTTACCAATTCAGCAAAATTCCCCCCGAATGTCATTTTTACACCCGAAAACCAGGACATGACAGGAACTTTCCTGAAGTATGGCAAGCCTAACCAGTGACCTGTGAGGGGCACGAATTCTTATGCAACCTGAGAGGCTAATGAAGTGGTGGTATTATTTTGCGACTGTAAATGGAATTGAGCAAATTATTATTTTCCTTTGTGAACATATAACATATATGTCCATATAAATCCTTTTTCAGGCTGCTGTCCAGAAGAGCATCCCAGTCTACAAAGCTACCACTAAAAAAGAAGTTGATATTCGTATTGACCAAGAATCATTTCTCCCTGATGACATGTAAGAAAGATACATAACTGAAAAGGGGTTATTGGTACTACATAACATGGTAGAGGCAGAGTGTTATAGATAGAACTTTCATGTGGAGAGCAGGGGTTAAAAATATAATAACTTTCTAATATCTAACGGTATACAGTGGACCCTCCAGATACAAACTTAATTTGTTCTGGGGGTCCTTATGTACCCCGAAAAGTCCACAACATAAGGCACCACTTCTGTGTGTGGCGCGATAGAGCACTTCTGCAATGCACGCACGGCAAAACGCAGAAGTATACACATCTGGGTTTGCCGCATTCGCAACCGAAAGTTACGTTACGTATAATTTGGAACTAATGTGATATGATAATGTGATGTGATTGGCCTGTTAATAAAAATTATTTTTTTTTTAAAAAAAAAAGAAAGTTACGTTACCTGAAGGTAATGTAACCCAAGGGTCTACTGTATAATGGAAATTAGCACTATCACATGCTAGATAACATATCCAATATATCATAAACCTTTCACATACACCCAGAAAACAGCAGATCATCCAGTTGTAGCTCCAAAAGGGATGGAATTTGATATTTCCTCATTATTGTGTTTTTAAAACTAATTGAAGAGCCAGTTCACTCAAAAGCTTCACAGGGCAGCAACAGATTAGGATGGGAGCACTTCTTCTAGGTCCACGGCTGGAATTGTTTAATAGTCCGTCCCCCCCCTGGGCATGTTTATGCAGAAGTCCCTTTGTTCTCTATGGGATTTACTTTCAGGTAAACATGTTAGTCTGTGATCTTATGTACACTGTAGAGTAAGTCCTATATCTTAATCTTGCTTTTCCACAAGATGATCAGGAACCTAGGCTTTGTTACAAACAAATACCCAAATGCCCCTAACTACAACTGTCAAAGATCATTGTAAAACATGCAGATTCATTAAAACTTTTCCTTACAAGTGAAAATTGTGAGGGAAATGTCTACCATGCTCTGATTTAACTTTGGTACGGACACCCATGCTCAAGCACAACGAGTGAGCTAGTGACTCATGGGCCACATCTGTCCTCCCAAAGCAATTTTATTTGGCCCACTGGTGTTCCACTAAAATGTAATCAGGGTGCAGTGCACGTTTTGCTTCATTTCCTGTTTTAAGTAAAAATAGCAATGAATTTTGTGTGTGCGTTTCACACAGTAATGGTATTGTGTCATGCATAGCCTGAAAAGGCAATGAACTGCTGTCAGCAGAGGATCTTGCAGAAAGCAATTAGTTTTTTAGCCAACCCTGTTGATGACTTGGAACTGCCTGATTACACACAGTCAAACCCATCAAGCGTTTACTCTTAGACGATGCTAAAATTTATTAAAGAATCTGATCCTCTTATTCTCCAGATTTGTCTCTGCACAGTGGTTCCAAAAAACCAGAAGTGGCTATTCTTGCCCGAGCATGTGCAGAAAAATATCCTAACGTTTTAAAAAGACTATGAAGACACACTACGTAGGGGCACATGTTGTTGCATTGAATAAATTACAGTTGCAGTGAAATGTAAGGGTTGGGTAGGTGACACTGATTCATCTCTCTGGCACATGACTTAAAACAGCAGTTTTGTCGGTTTTGTTTCATTCAGTCAGACATTGTTTATCTTGTTTGTGTCTTCTAGAGCTGGAGGTGTTGAAATCTATAACAGTGACAATAAAATCAAGGTTTCCAATACTCTGGAAAGCCGGCTGGATCTAATTGCTCAGCAAGTAAGCCTGAGAAATACCTTCCATTTTCTCTCCTGCCCCACCATCCTTGAACCCCCGATTTCTTCCGAGCTTAATATCCTTGGCAAATGATTTGTACACCACTAATTATTTTGATGTGTATCCCATCTTGCAATCCAATGATCCTCAAGGCATCTTACAGTAGTCCCAAGCCCCACACAACTCAGCAGCCTGTAAGCTCCTGGCTGATGCATGGGGGCCTCCCTTCACTTCTGCAGTCCTGGGGCAACTGGTAGTTGAAGATTTCTGGCAGTGAGAGGGGAAGCAAGGTCCCTGCTCTTTCTCTCTGGCCATTCATTGATGCCACATCTTTGCCATCATGTTCTGCCTGGAAGGCAGGGACTACAGTGTCCCAGTGGCCCCCTGGCCAATAACGAAGGTCAGAATGTTTCCTTTCAGCTTTTCAGTCCCAGTGCAGCCCATTGTGGCTACAGGTGCTTGCTCTGAGGTCATAGACTCAGTTTGATGGTGGCAGTCCTCATTACCAACATTTTGTTGAAGGAGAGGATCATGCATCATGGGGAAGGGACTGCTTCCTTTGGTATTGTGCTGTCTTGCACAGTTTGTGTGATGTGTCCCTCCAGCCCTTTATCTTGCCAGTTCAGGGCTGATGCCTGCGCCTGCAATATCGAACAAAGTGCCTGGTGCATGTTGCATTCCTGTTCTTCTGTGCCATCACCAAACACATTGTAACTGCTTCTCTTTTTTTTCCTTCAACAGATGATGCCAGACATTCGAACGGCACTTTTTGGTGCCAACAGCAATAGGAAGTTCATGGACTAAATTTCTTCAAGTAACAGTGGAAATTATTCCACTGCCATAGTGAAGGGAATGCTGGAGCATCCCTAATAAACCAACACCCCTCTTAAAATGTAATACTCAGTGCTATATTGTGTTGCCCTGTGTATGTTCTTTGGTTAAGTTATACTTCTACTTTTTTTTGCATATCTGCTATGCTTAGCCTGACTTGAAGAGAGGCTGGAAGACCTCTGTCCACAGAACAGTGGTATGTAAAACAGAAATTGAGACGTTTAGGTCCCTTGAGACAGATTCCTTGGGGGTCAGTCTCTGCTTTGACTACTTCCCTCGAAGCATGTCGCCAACCTGTGTTGTTTATCCATGGTTTCCTTATTTAAAAGCTGTTTGATATTACGTTAAATAGGGGGCATATGTTTCTTTTGAGGGCCACTGTAACTTATGCTAATTTGGTCAACCCCAGATTCTTGTTCTGTATATGTGGTTTCAAAAATTATATATATATATATATGTATACACACACTTGACTTGTACACATGCACAGCCTATACATCATTAAAATAAAAAGGTGTGTGAAACTTGTTGTTTTTCCTTTGCTTCTGCCCCCAGAGGAATAAGTCTGTATGGGGTCATCAAGCAACCATGTTACTGAGCTTTACAGCAACACCTTCCCTCCATGTAGTTTCAGTTAGGGAGTGTAAAAAAAAAAAGAACTGAGAATCAATGGTAACGTTTATCAGAAGGGAATTTTAGGCTAACATTTAGTTCACTATAAAGTTGGAAGCTTCAAGATTGGTATTGGGGAAATAAACTATGCAAACTGTAAGCAATCTGATTTATTAAGAGACAAGCTGCTTTTTAAGGTTAGAAGCAGCCATTTTACCACCCTGTCAAGATTAACATATATTTTTTAATACTATCCTTTAATAGAGTTCCCTGGGTAGGTTGCAAAAAGTTATGTGGTCATATTGTAGAAGGTAAGGCTTCAGAACAGGGGTGTCAGCAGGTAGTAGCATGAGAGTTTATAATTACAACTGGCTTTTTTTAGGGGTTCCAAGCATAACAAACCATAAATTCTACATTTTTTAAAGCTATATCAGTCTAATGAAGCAGAACTACTTTATTTAAAATTTTATTTCTCCATGCATCAAGGAACATGTTTACAGTAAGATTATTTTGTTTGACGTTGGATGGGTACTACTTTTCTGCTAGTTTCTCCATGGAAAGGGGGTAGAAAGTAGTCATCTTGCTGGCCAATCAAAACACCATTGCACACACCAACTAGGGTAATCCTTGGCCCCTTTTTGCTATTGCCACTTTTAGGATTTTCTGTGCAGTGGTGAAAGCTACACATTTTTACCAAAAAATGAAGTCTCATATTTTCAAGAACTGAGTGGAAGAGAGACATGGTGGTTGCTATTAACTATAGTAGTGCTAAAGAACATTAAAGACCCTGTCTGATCAGACCTACCTAATCCAGCACCCTGTTCACACAGTGGCCAACCAAATGCTTGTGGGGGAAATGCAAGCAGGACCTGAGAACAAATGCAGTCTCCTCTCCTGTGGTTTCCAGCCATTGGTATTCAGAAATATACTGCCTCTGGACCTTGTGGTTATGAGTAAACAAGGGGGCAGGAAGCTTTTGTCAGCCCAAGAGTTGCATTCCTTTGGTAGTCACCTGAGAATCACATGGCAGAACTGGTTGAGGCTAGAGGCAACAGTAGGCAGAGCAATGGATGCAGTTCTCACCTTTGCACAGTAGGCTATATCTCAGCCATCAAAAAGACATTTCCACATGCAATCCAGGCAAGCAGCATTATCAAAGCTCAAAGACAATTGGCAGGCAGTAAGAGAACTCAAGGAGGGCACAGAACACGGCCAGTGAGAGGTGTGGTCTAGGAAAAGTCAAACGGGCCAGAGACACGAGGGCTGGAAACTTCATTTGCTTTCTGTCTTCCATTTAAAGTAGGTGAGGAAGATGGTTCCTGACCATTGATTTGCATTGCTGAGCAGTCACTAAGGTGCAGCATGCTTTAGGGTTAGGCAAACACAAATATTTCCTTTGTGTATGTATCTGTGTTGTCTAAACACAGCTCTGGGTTATGCACAAACAGCAAATGGGAAAGTTCGTACCTCCCCCACCCACCTCAAGCTGAACAGCAGTTGGCAGACTGTCATCAGATGCTGTGACTAACACTATCCATTACAGATGCAGAAGAGGCTTAATAGAAACTTGCTGAGCTCAGATGGTGTCAGGGGTTCAGGAGCAGAGGCGAGGGCAAGGGAGGAAACAGCGAGCGAGGGGGAGGAGTCCGAAGAAAGGATGAGTGATGACGACGACCCGAGATCTCCGAGTCTTTCCAGCGAATCGGAAGATTCACAGAAAGGAGCGCCAGTGGCCAGAGCAAAGGGGGGGCCTAGGGGGACACCCCAGGAGGAAGGGACCAGCGGGGGTTCAGAGGGCAGCAGTTGGAAATCGGGGCCAGCGTCCCCACCAGAGCGCAGTGGAGAGGAAGGACGTCAGGGATCGAGCCCTGGCAGCTCGCAGCAGGGAGGAGGGCATGAGTCAGGAGTGACCACACCCCCATCGGGGAGCGAAGAAACGGTCAAGCGGAAAGTGGAAGGTTGGGCGCGCGCGCCAAGTTCAAATGCACAGGAAGGCGGTGCAGTAAGCAGCCCGGAAAGGGAGCCAGGTCCTAAAGCCCGACGCAAGGAGACAGGAGGGTCCGGGGGGTCAGCGTCAGAGGAGTCCCGGAGGGAGGAGACCACGGGGGGCAGAGGGACCCAGAGAAGGATGGTCAGGCGGAAAAGGTGGAGTAAGGCGAGGATATTAAGTTGGTGTACGAGGGGCGGAGACTCAGACGGAGCTTCGCCGGTCTAGCCATAAGACGTAGAGTTGCACGCAGCAGCTTGGAAATGGAAACTGTAACTCAATAAAGACTTTTATAAAGCGAACGCTGGCTAGCGTGATCCTCTGTGAGCTAGGATCGGGGAGCAGCTCTGACAGATGGTCACATTAGAAATAATACACAATTAAGAACGGCCATTAATTTATGTGTACAAATACATGAACTGGAAGAGAAGAGGTTGGCAATGATGAGACTGCTTCTAAAATGAAAGATCAGAAAGGGTTCTGTAGTGAAATGTATACAGCAGTGCAGGATCACCAAATAAAATGTACAGGAAAATATTTCCAGCATGAGATCAGGGCAGCAAGGGTGAATTTAACCTCCACTAAACTGCTATTCTTGATCCAACTTGGAAGCATTTAAGAAATGACATAAAAATATGAAGTCGTGATATTTATAAATGCACTTGTAATGGAGAAGAACAAGCATCAGGCAGCACTGCGAAGGACCCCATAGATCCCTAGTAAAGTGTAAGTTTTGTAAGTAGATGGATTCAGATTCAATCTCTGGCCATACATACCGGAGAAAGAGCACCACTCCTGGTCTGCCGTGGTGTGTGATAGATCAGCTTGAAAAGTGTTGGCCAACGTTTGGTGCAAGTAAGAAATAACACTTGCAACCCATTCCTTTTCATAGCACCACCTTTGGCATGTTAACTTTTAGGTCCCAGAAATCTGCCCAGTGCAGAGGATTGTTTTAGAAAATGAAGCAATGGCAAACCTGGAAGTGGTGTTTTTAGGCCGTCTTCCTGGATAGTGGTAGACTGGGTAGTTGTTCACAGCCATTCAAGTATTTACAGGGTGCTTCCATTTCTCTTCAAGTAGCTAGTGTCACAGAACTCTTGCAATCTTCATTCATGATCCAGTGTGTTTCGGAATGTGTACTACTTGAAATATTCCATGATATGTTCTCCAATGCCAATGAAATACATTCCTTGGGCTATGCCAAAGAGAGGAGCTATAACCAGTGCACGGCATCCTGCCCCTTTCATGAAGGCAGCGGGGCCCTCGTGAATCCAGACCTTCCTGGAGAGGAGAGAAACAGCGTGGGTTGGTAAAACAGCTCCTGAACAGTTATTGTTACTATCAATTAGAGGGTTTTTTTTTCTATTTAGGGTTCTCTGAGTACAAGGCAAGGTGGCAGAGATGAGTCTCCTAATTACTTACATAGCTTCCTTTCAAGGCAGGAAGTGACAGCTGCCTTCCCAAATCAAGGCATAGCTGGGGAGTTGGAGGCAAAGGTGGTCAGGACCACAGCATGAGAGGAAAAAGAAACCAAGACTTCAATCCAGAGGTCACTGAACCCCAGCTCACCTCACCTCCAACCAGCACAGCCACCAGGTCAGAAATCTTGTGAGTTGCAGTCTAGCAACATAAAGAACCAGAGAGTTCCTCATCTCTGACCCCCCACTGCTCTTTAAAGTTAAAAGCACCCAAGAGTAAGCTGTGTTTAACTTAATATGTCAGCAACAGCCACGGCAAGAATTGGGAACCGTCATATTTGTGTTCCGCTGCCCCTTGTGGTCAGTTACTCAGAGCTGCTGCCTTTGAATATTTATTTCCTTTGCTGGCTGTTCATTTTCAATGTCTTACTTAAATGCTGTTGCAAGGGGGGAAGCTAGCTTATACTCAGAAATACTATGTTTTTACAGTATACAATGGGAAATCATGCATCAGCTTGCTCAGTTACCAGCTTTTTCCTCCTAAGAAGAATGAATGAAGCAGAAACTGGAAAACCACAAAGTAGTGTAGAATGCTGCTGTTAAGGGTGCCAGCAACTCTACTCCATTCCATCCTCTCTGGGGTTCCTCAACGCCTGCTGCCATCTTTCTCTTGTGAGTGGATGGTGCCATTTCAGAAAGACGTGACAACTTACATTGCAAAATGTACACTGCAGAACATTGTTAACATAGAGCAATGACCTGAGTACCAGTAAAACAAGAGTTCAGGTCTGCTTACCTGGCACAGTCAACGATCCCATTGTAGGTGTCCTCTCCCAGTCCTTTCTTGAGAGTTTGAATTCGGGTCTTTAGAACTAAAACAAGCAGTAACTGATTTAAACTTTGCAAAGTTGCATGCTTTACAGACTTTTTAGTGCAAGCATACTTAACTGCAAGATTAGGGTTTTTATTTATTTGTTCATTTCATTCCTGGCATGAATACATGCTCCTGGTACTGGTCAGAAATGCAGTGTTGTTATCCCACATCAGTTCTTCATCAATCATCATTCATCACCATAATATTAAACACACGGTGCCTCACTAAAGCATTTCACATACATAAGTTCTTAGGCTATTCAGTGGTGTGAACTGAGGGTTTCTAGCATATAAGCTTATCATTAATTTTTCAGTTTTTATGTTTGTATTTTCATGGCAATCTTATCATAGATATATCAAAATAAATCTGTCCTTTCTCCAATGAGTTCATGGTTCTCCACTAGCAGTTGGTTAGATGAAGGGGCTGTGCCTTGTCCCAGTATCACCACTGAGCTTTCTATCCAAGCAGCAATTTAAACCCAGGTTCAACACTCTTATCGGATGTAGTCTGTTCACTGCATTAATACTGTTTCTCTAGTAAGGTTCACTTAATCATTATGCTGCTCCAGTTAATCTGTTGGTCGGCGCTGTTCCAGACAAGGCTCACTCATAATTGATTATAAGAAATAGCTCCCTCTATTTTCCTGGAATAAATAGTCTGCCTGATACAGTAAGTACTCTTAGTTGCTAACAGCCCATTCATGTGGTTGGGTAAGAAAAAGCTTCTATATACTCATGTGCGAAGTGCAGATTATTTTGCAGAGTATGTAAAACATTATGGACAATGCAACTTAGAAAGCAGCCTTATAAGGAGCTTAATTAATCTTGGGTCTGTGTTGGCAAGGTCTTAATAGTTCACTTGAAGCACTACTGCGGCCTCTTGGGAGGGAATAAAATTCATAAACACACACACACGTAAGCAAAAGTCACTGCCTTTTGATAGTCGCACCATCTAATACCTACCATCCAATGGGGTCACGGCCACTGCAGCCACAGATCCTGCAATACAGCCTGAGATGAATGAATGGAAGAAAGAGGCTTTTTCATCAAGATTCGCCTGCCCCAGCTTGTTGATGTTGGCAAAAAGTGGGAAATATATAATAGAAAAGGGCACATCCCTGTTGAGAGTAGAAGTGAGACATTTTAGGTAAACAATACAATCAGCTAATCTCTTGTTGAAGCTGTTTTTCTCAACCAATTTTCACCTTCCCCTTTCACAGCTCAACTGTTCCTCCCATTTGGACTGCCATACTTTCTACCCTTGCAGTTGTTACAGGCTTTTATGTTTTCACACAAGTATACTTTCCCCACAGTTGCAATGTATCATGGAATTTTAAAACTTTAGGTACAGTATGTGCTTACGTTTAGCTTTGATCCCAGCACCACCCTGAACAAACCCACCCTTGTGCAACTGAAAGCAAAGTCCAGAGAACAGTCTGAAGATGTCACACATTCTAGCAGCTAAAATTATTTTATTTATTATCCCTACTTTTATTAAAAATATATATATCAAGGCAGCTTACAACATAAAATACAGTATCATTTATCTAAATATCTGTAAAACATAATTAAAAGCATTGATAAAACATTAGTTGATACTGTTCGGTTAATATGAGAAAATCATATTGTGAATGCCTGTCCATAAGGTATTTTGAGCACAAGTTGATGAGGACTTTGTGAATTAACACAAGATGTTGAACCTGGCCCACTAGCAAATTGTTTCTCAGCAGTGGAGTAACATGTTGCTAGTAATCTGCCTCTGTGAGCAGTCTGGCTGCTGCATCCTGCACTAGATGAAGCTTCCAAAGTGGAAGCATCCTGACCTTTTATAAGCTGCTTGAGTGGGAGACCACCTGTGAATATGAAGTACTTTGAGGTATTTGGTTAGTATATGGGTTAGCAACCTTTAGTTTCTTATACCCCACAATGAGGAAAAGAGGTCTGTAGACTCAATATAGATCATAGCAATTGCTTTGGATCCAGATTTCCATGCATAATATGAAGCTCCCACTAATTCTCTCCCACCCCTGGTTAGCTTTAAATGCTCAGGCAGCCATGTAAACAACCAATAGGGACTTACGTGTGGAGCTCATGAGTATGGAGTTCCTGGATCCAAGTCATGGTTTAAAAGCAAAAGAACCTCCTTTAGAATGGGAAGTCAATCCTTCTAGGGCATGAAGGGCATTTATAGAAATTGAAGCATTCTTCTCTGCCTCCAGGTGCAGACCAACACTGAGAAGATATCTCTTTGTTCTGGGACCAGCACATCTCAGCCTGCCTTAGGTAGCCTGAATGCTAAAACTCCTTTCTCAAAACCTCTAGACTAAAGCAGCTTGCGATCCTACAATGAACAGGAAGGAACAGTTCACTCTCTTCTAACCTGAGCAAGGTGGCTCCCAGCCCTTTATACAGGCCTGCAAGTCCCTGGGTGCACAGGAGATCTCTGGCAATCATGAAAGCAGAGGGGCGTTTAGAGGCTGCTGTGGACCCGGCTTTGTAAGGCTGTCCTGGTGGTGAATGGGAGGTGGCAGCAGCTGGTCCATCCTGCCCCAAGGCCTTCTGCTGATGAGCAGCTAAAAGAAAACAAGCAATAAAACTCCTAACTTTCCATTGTCACTCCATGGGTTCCTTGCATTGCAGTCTCAGGAACATCATAGCACTCCATCTCCAGCAACAATTACCCCAATCCCAATATATTCTGGTAGTACTACAGTGGGGGAGGACACCTCCAGTTTAGGGGCAATCTTGGCCCACTATGAGGTTCAAGTTGGTCCGTGAAGCCATTTTCCACAAACCATGGCTACTTGTCCATTAGCTGACATAACTGGCCAATGTCAGCAGATGAGTGGGATTCATTTCTGCCGGGGAATGCAGGGAATGTGCTGGTGAAACAGACCCTTGCAGCCAGCAGGGTTGAACCCTTTGATCACCAGCTGGTGAGTGGAGGGTTCAATCCTGGTCAGTCTGGCTGTGCATGTCTGTTCCCCTAGTAGGAACAGGTGTTTGCAGCAAGAGTGTGGTGTGGAGCTGTTTGAAAGCTCTTTTGCAAACAGTTCCACAATGTTCTTTAAATGTATGAAAACCATAGGTTTAAAGAGCCGTGCAGAGCTATCTGCAAAAGGGCATTTAAACTGCCCCACTCTGCACTTTGAAGTGCCAACAATTAGAGTTTCAAGCATAGCAGCAACAGGAGATAAGGGGAGATTAGGACCTAGCTCACTGGACAGAAAAGGTTCTCCACACCTATATTCTAAGTAACTCAGATATTAATTTGCTTATTTGCCCAGTAAAAGCACATTTTGGCAAGTAACCACTATTAGGCAACAGCAAAATATGGACAGAAGTATAACAGAGACAAGTAATGGGAATTAGGGGCTGTGTCTGAGAAATAGAGATAGTTGGAGTTCATTTAATTCAAGACTTTGCTTTCACCATCATTCCACCCCCCACCCCCCAAAAAAAGGGGGTGGAATGGGAACTTACCTAGCCGCCCAGCATCCTGGAGCTGGATTTTCAACATTTCCATTGGAGATGTGACCACTACCTGGCAAGTCCCAGCTCCACAGCCAGCAAGCATCTCTCTCACCAATGACAATTCTTTTCTGTCAAAAGAAGCATAGATGCAAAATAAATGCACTTCCACAACTATAGGCTTGCCAAACTATCATGAGAGTGGCCTGGTCTGGGCTATTTCTGTGCCTTCCATAGAGTGAAGCTTTTCACAGCCTGGAGATCAACAGGGATCCACACTTCCACTCCCATGGTTAGCCCCAGCTTTCCTGTCTAGCTTGGAGATGGAGAGAGAGAAAAAGACTCAGCTGTGCAATGTGCAAAAAGGGGACAAAAAGGGGAAAGATACCCATTTATGCTCCAGCTCCTGTCAAGAGATAAAGGTTGAGCTGGTCCTTTTGATGGTGGGCGGCTGAAGTGCCTTGGCTTCCTGCCATCAGAATGGTGAGTCCTTGGGTGGAATTTAGTGTTGCACTGTAATAATCATTCCCACAGCACAAGCATTTTTGCTTGCCAGACAGAACAATCTTCTCCCACACTGTTCTGAAGGTTTCCCCAATCCTCCAGAGCAGATTTGGGTGATGCTTGAGTGGGTGAACTCCCATTGTGCTAGCAGAACTCTTTACGATAGTTTATACTAGCACACCAGGTTAGTTGAATCCAGCCCCTAAAGTTTCACTGCAGGCCATTTTACAGAGGAACTCGGAGCACCTTGGGTGATTCATACTAAGACAAGACTCAGCTCCCCTCCCACAAGTCAGGGATAAAGGTTGCATTCTTATATATGTTCAGATGGGAGTAAACCCTGTTGAACACAGTGAAGCTCTCCTCTGTGTAAACATGCATAGGGTTGCACTGGAGAGGAATGGCAAGGACCTAGTGGTCAAAAGTTTTGGCCTGGCTACCAAGGCTAGATGAAATTAGTGGACCTGTAGAGATGAGCATTGTCTGCCAAAAGAAGTCACTGTCAAAGGTGCAAGAGCAGAAGCTCTATGAGACACGTACACAAAATTATAACATCTTCCTCAAATGTCTCCTCCTCTCTCTACAGGTACATAAGCCTCTTGGCTCACCTGAGATATGAGCTGCCTATAGTTTGTAGCCTGCAAGTACAGACTACACCAAAGAACACTGGCAGGAGTCAGGTAGCGGCTCTCCACTTTGAACAGTGAAAGTGGCAATTTTAGCTCAAGCCTGTTGTGCCTCTGTTAGTGGGAATTTCAGGAGTGAACACTGTCAGAGGAACACCGAGGAAGGACTACAGATTCATATCTCTCTCTCTCTCACACACACACACACCCACACCTGCCTCTACACTGCCACTGTGACCTAAAGCAAGGACATTGGTAGGAGGCTTACAAATTGACTGTGGTGTGATATACTAGAGGGTGGGGAGAATGGGGCCACTATCAGGATTTGATTATGTTAGGCTGACTGTTACTATTCTCATACTATTTATTTTCACATGCTGCTCTGATGGTGCTTAGCTTTAAAAAAAATTCTATAATTTATTCATGATGAGATTTTGGTGTTTCATTGTATCCTTTAAACTGTTTTATAGGAGGACTTTTTGGTTTTGAACAGCATCCCACAAATGGCAAAATGACAATAAAAAAGATAGATGAATAGATCAATAAATAATAAAAACAAAGAAACTGGAATTATTGAATGCTTTTTACCCCATACCCATCTTGGGAGAGTAACTGTCGGAAGAAATCATTGGCTGCCAACTTGATTGCTTTTTCAGGAGTGACAAGAGTCAGGTTTACAGCAGCCCCTATGAGAAGATGGGAGAGGCAATAAGGCACCCAGTTTTATGGTACATTAATACATTAATCCTCTGGTAATATGTACTAAACACACTCCTGGAGGTTTCTGGAAGGTAGCAAATTAAAATATTAATGATATCCCAATTAAAATGATATTAAACTGGATGAAACACTAGCACTAGAAATATTTCCCCAATTTAACATGGAGTACCAAATGTCAGAAAAAATTGCTTATACAGTAAAGTCTTGCCGTTTCCAGAAGACACTCCTTGCTCTCTCGATGGTGCATGAAGAATGAACTCAAGAGGGCACTGTTGGTCAATTTTAAAGATTGTGATGGGACAACAGGGAAATGGTAGTCTCTTAGCTAGTTAAACAAAAGTAACTGTGAAATACGAATTAATTTGTTACAGGATGCTCAGACAGCCATTTTAGTGCCCTAATAGCATCCTGTGAGGCATAGCAGGAAATCTGGGTATCTCAAAAAAGCACCCCCGAACTCTCCAAAAGTTCCTTTTTGATCTGTCACTGGCCACCTGAAATTGTGCAGTCCAGGAAGGACTGTACCACTACAGGTGCCGGGTTGCCCCCAAGATTGGAGGGGCTGGTGCACATGTGACATCATACACATGCCACACATCACGTGACCTCATACACATCTTCCAATGCCATGCAGACTGGACCAGCGCGGCCTAGCGGAAGGCTGGACTGGTCCCCACAGTGTTGGGAGGTGCTGTGGGGACCAGCATGGCCTGTTGCAAGGCCTAGCAGAAGCCTGTACCGGCCTGTGTTGTGTTGGGAGACACTGAGGGGACTGCCCTGGTCTGCACAGCATCTCTCAATACTGTGGGGACTGGTGCGGCCTAGCAGAAGGCTATCCATTTTTACACACACACAAAGAGATTTGCAGTTCCTTGAAGTACAAAAAATATGCATTATGAAAATCCTCCCACATGTTATTAAAATATGCTCTCTCTTTTATTGGGTCTTATAAACAAGAATACATACAAGTATACCAAGTTTTCTCATGTCATTTGTGTATCACAAAAATAGCATAATAAACGTGGAAAAATATCTACAACATATGTTTCATTATTAGTGGACAATGTACAGGTTCTTGGTTCATTAATTGGTTTAAACAAGAAAGAAAGAAAGAAAGAAAGAAAGAAAGAAAGAAAGAAAGAGAAGGGGGAAGAGGGGGAGCGGGGAATGGTGAGTGGGTTGCGGTCGGGTGGTTATGCTTCTATTTTTCTACTGGGGGGGGCGTTGTGTCAGCATTACTTGTATGGGTTCTCTTCCTATTCACTTGTCATATTTCCTTGGTGGTGAGAGAGGTTGAGGGTGGCTTAGGCCCTAAGCCTTAGAGTGTGGTTGGGTCTTCTTTGGTTGGTTGTAATAAGAGTTGTTTTTGTGTGTGAATGGGGTGTGAGTGTGTATTTTTTAATCAGGTTAGCCAGATTGATTCATATGCTGTTGGCAGATTCTTGTTGTCTCGTTGGTCTGTATATATGATAAAGGGGAACCAAACCAGGGTGAAGGTGTCTTCCTCTATATGTCCCCATGTCAGTTTCAGTTTATTGGTTAGTTTATCTAATAAGGCTGTTTCCCATACTATTTGATACCATTGGTCCATGCTTACTCCTGACAGGTCTCTCCAGTGTCTGGCTATGTTGTTAAATATGCTCTTTTGATACCAATATTTAAAATTTCATTTCAAACATTCCCCCCCCCCCGCCAATTATCTCTATTGTTCAACTGAGATAATTTAAACAACAGCAAAAGCATTTTGCCCATTGCGCTTTGCTATTGCAGTTCAGACAAAAAGGATGACCTTTCCATTTTTATAAGCATTACCTCGATACATGCCAAAGAACCCCTCTGATTTAATTGTCTTCACCAAACAATCCCTCCTAGAATAAGAGAGGAATAGAGAGAAACAAGAGTTAGCAACATGTATTTCAAGATTGTCTGATGTTCAGTAGGTGCTTACTTGGAGAACAGCGTTCTCAGCTATAGCACCAAAACTATGGAACTCCTTTCCCAAATACATTTGCTCTCCCGAATCTCTGCTGGTCTTTGGGCAACAAGAAAAGGTGGTGTTGTTTTTCAGGACACTTTCTGAATTTAATTTGTGGTTGATATATCCCTGCTGCTTGGTTGGTTGTGACTTTTGCATTTTATATTTGCAAGAATTTTTTAGCTACTTTTCAGAATGTAAATTTAAAAAACCCAGAATACATATGTTTGAGTGAGTTCCAGCACCTCTTTTTCTAGAAAAATAGTACTTGTCATATCCATCCATTGCAATGGGTCTACTCTGAGAATTAGGGGTATGGGTAGAAGAATGAGTAGAAAAGAGAGAACTTGGAAGGAGTTCAACCATCCCCAACTTCTTTCTTTGTTTGTTTGTTAGACTTATATCCCACCTTTTTCTTCTAAGAGCTCAAGGTGGCGTACATGATTATACCCCTTCTCATTTAATCCCCACAATAACCCTGTGAGGTAGATTAGACTGAGAGGCAGTGAGGGTTGAAAGATACATAATTCAAACCAGATTGGACTCTAATACCCAGTAAAAGACGCCTGTTCCTTGGGAGAAAGGCGATGGCAAATCTAGACAACATCTTAAAAAGTAGAGACATCACCTTACCAACAAAGGTCCGTATAGTTAAAGCCATGGTTTTCCCAGTAGTGATGTATGGAAGTGAGAGCTGGACCATAAAGAAGGCTGATCGCCGAAGAATTGATGCTTTTGAATTATGGTGCTGGAGGAGACTCTTGAGAGTCCCATGGACTGCAAGAAGATCAAATGCATCCATTCTTAAGGAAATCAGACCTGAGTGCTCACTGGAAGGACAGATCGTGAAGTTGAGGCTCCAATACTTTGGCCACCTCATGAGAAGAGAAGACTCCCTGGAAAAGACCCTGATGTTGGGAAAGATGGAGGGCACAAGGAGAAGGGGACGACAGAGGATGAGATGGTTGGATAGTGTTCTTGAAGCTACCAACATGAGCCTGACCAAACTGCGGGAGGCGGTGGAAGACAGGAGTGCCTGGCGTGCTCTGGTCCATGGGGTCACGAAGAGTCGGACACGACTAAACGACTAAACAACAACAACAACCCAGTTTAGAGCCTAATACCCCATGCCACACCGCACATATCACACTAAACAAAGCCTTACAACACATACATTCCGGTGTAGATGGCTTGTCCTTGCTGGTTCTGGAGACGGGTTTTGGCCAAATCAATGGGGAAAACACAAGTCACCCCCACAAGACCTGCTATACCTCCGTTGATTAACTTAGCTGGAAGGCTGTAAAGTATAAGATAAGTTACAATGATATTCCTTGGTACAGGGATTCTAGCAGATTATTATTATTATTATTATTATTATTATTATTATTAGTCACCTCCACACTTATACCCACCCTGTTCTCCAAGGAGCACAAGGCAGCAGACATACATGCATGCCCTGATAGCTTTCCACCACAGCTATGTGCCCTTGGTCCAAAAGGTTTCCCCACCCCTGCTTTAAAGCAATTCCATGAGCTGTGATAGGAGCCTCCATGACCTTCACCTTTGTTATCTTCTCTTGTGCTCATCCGGGCACTCACATTTAGTTGCAATGCACATAGGGGCTTTTTTTTAAAGAACTTTGCTGGATCTGGTTCATCTAGTGCAGGATGAACAGCAGCTGAGTTGATGTGTAAAGGAAGCCAACAAACAAGGCATGAAGACAACAGTCTATCCATGCAGCTTCACACACACACACCCTCTAGTCACTAGTTTTTAGAAGCAAACTTCTTTTGAACACGAAGGCTCCATTTAGCTACAAGCCATTCATAGACATAGCATTAATTTTTCTAAGCCTCTTTGAAAGCCCCTAAACTAACACATATCACTGCATCTTATGGCAGCAGATTCTGTAAGCAAATTATGCCTTATGCCTTTCACTAGGTCACTTTAAATACAGTAGTACCTCGAGTTACAGACGCTTCAGGTTACAGACTCCGCTAACCCACAAACAGTACCTCGGGTTAAGAACTTTGCTTCAGGATGAGAACAGAAATTGTGCAGCGGCAGCGGGAGGCCTCATTAGCTAAAGTGGTGCTTCAGGTTAAGAACAGTTTCAGGTTAAGAACAGACCTCCAGAATGAATTAAGTCCTTAACCCGAGGTACCACTGTACTAGTAATGTGGACTAGTAGAGTCACTGTTTCTGCACCATGATTTCTGTTCATGCCCATAATCACAAGGAAACATTTTTGTCAGGACCAGAAGCGTCAGGGCATCAAAATCATGCATAACATAGAGAAAGTTTTCTTTTTTTCTCCCCCCCCCTTATCTCATAATACACTAGAACCCATGACCATCCAATGAAGCTGAATGGTAGAATATTCAGGGAAGACAAGAGGAAGGGCTTCCTCACACAGCAGCATAATTAAACTCTGGAATTCACTACCACAATATAAGGTGATGTCCACCAACTCAGACAACTTTAGAGAAGGATTAGACAACTGCAGGGAGGACAAGGTCTCCAATGGTTACTATTCACAATGACTGTATACAGCCTCCAGGATCTACCAGTCACGGGGAAACAACAGCAGGGGAGGGCTATTGTCCTGATGTCCTGCCTATGGGCTTCCCATTGGCATCTAGCTGGCTAGTGTAAGCTAGATTGGTCTTTGATCTGATTCAGCAGGGCTCTTCTTATGTTCCTAGTCGACACTGAAAGCACCAGGCTCACAGGGTAGATGACATCCACAAGCAGCAAGCTTAGAGATGGCTCTGGGCTATTTTACAACTTGAACAACACTGAGCCAGGTTATTCAGCCTTTCAGGCAGAATTAAAACTAGCAAAAAATGTCTGAAAAATAGAGGACATTAACTATCCTCTGCTCCATCCTATTGCCTGTCCACCAGTTCCCACAGAAAAGTTAAGCATCATTTATATCACTGGAGCACAGAATTCCCCACTTTCAAAAGGCAAGGAGCAAAAAGGACAGGGCTGACCTAATCTTCTTCGTGTCCCTCATTGTTCCTTGGGGATGTTGTTTCTTGGTGAAAGCAGCAGCTGCTTGTGCTGCTGACACAGGAAAATTCTTTCAAATGTGGAGGCGCATTCCTCTTTGTCTTTGTTCTGCTGGGGAAGAGAACACCATTAGTGCTTCTTGACATGCTGCTTGCCAGGGGTATATTACAGGTAACAAATGACAGTGTCACTTCTAAAACATAGAGGCAATTTATCACTTAATCAGTTCTTGGAGAATAGTGAAGTCAGATGAATAGCTTCCCAGAGGCCACCAAACACAAAAACAGGGGGTTTTGTCTCAAATGCAACCCAACCTGGGCACTTTTAAGCCACTATTTTGTAAAAGAAGTGCCAAGGAAACGCCTACCATTCTGGACCCAGAGAGGCCAAAGAATCTCCAGAGGAGGAGAGAAGGGGATGTGGGCACATGCCTCACCAAGGGGGATGAGACAAGGGTTAGAGAACATTAACCAGACATTGCCCCCTGAAGTCTATAATACTGATCACAAAATTTGGTGTGGAAATGATGACTAAAATCGCTAGGAGATGCATAGAACTGTGACATAATTCTATTAAACTCTGAAGTGGGAAATAAGTGGGTACTGGAGGTACCAAAAAGTGAGGTTCTGAAGTTCCATGAAAGATTGCCCAGAAGTGTGCTGTGAGTGGGGAGTTAGCTTGGATGGACAAATAGGAACTACTGCAGATTATTTGTTAAGTATCTCATTCTTTGAGATCAGCAATAAAGAGATCAATGTTGCATCTCTGCGAAATTTAGAAGACTAGCTGCTGAATCTGGGTCTTTTTCTGGCAGTGAGACGAGAGTAGGATAATCTTGTTGGTTTTACTTCACCTGAAGGCGGCAGCAAAAGACTTCTTAAATCCTGGAGGATGACAACAACAGGGAAGCATGAAAGGCATGGCGTGTTCAAACAATTTCCATGCTTTTGAAGGGGTTGGGAGTGTCTTGATGTTGCCTTAGCGGCCATCATTGAACAAAAGACTGTGTGTATTCATGGTCATCATTATGCTGTTTGTGTATTATATAACTTACTTGCCCAGCCATGCCAAAAGAAGTCAAGCAACAATTTTGCAAGGCCAATGAGTCACACATAAACAATTAGTCATGTACAACCAGCTAGAATTATTTAATAATATTGTTGCTACAAAATATCTTTCAGGTTTGGTTTATTACCAAAATACTACTAGTGACTTTTGCAGTTAGTCATCATTCACATGCATGCACTAAATTTATTTTCTCACATTTATATCCCATACTGTATTTCTTCCAAGGTGGTGCACATTTGGTTTTCAGGCTGACACCCATCCACTTACTTACTCTCAGCAAGGTAGTGACCTCATGTGCCTTCAGACCTAACCCTGGGGCATATTTGCATGAGTTATACCACAAGTGCCAAAAGCAGCATCTGAAATGCGGTAGCAGTTTGCACAGATAGTGTCATTCCAGCATTCCACTCTAGAACAGGGGCTAACAACTCTCATATAAGCTAGCTAGGGTAAAGGTAAAGGTAAAGGGACCCCTGACCGTTAGGTCCAGTCACAGACGACTCTGGGGTTGCGGTGCTCATCTTGCTTTACTGGCCAAGGGAGCCGGTGTACAGCTTCCGGGTCATGTGGCCAGTATGGCTAAGCCGCTTCTGGCGAACCAGAGCAGCACATGGAAACGCTGTTTACCTTCCCGCTGGAGCGGTACCTATTTATCTGCTTGCGCTTTGTGTTTTTGAACTGTTAGGTTGGCAGGAGCAGGGTAGAATATAATATTTAAAAGAAAAGAAAAAACATATAGACCTTCCCTTCTTGCTGCTCTGATGTACATTTAATGAAAGGAACAGTTGTACCCACAGGAACAATGGAAGGTGTGGCATAGGATAATCTTAGAATCATAGAATTGTAAAGTTGATAGCGACCCTAAGTATTATCTAGTATCCAATCCCCTGCAATGCAGGAATATGTAGCTGTCCCATTTGAACCTGGAACCTTGGTGTTATCAGAACTGTGCTCTAACCAACTCAGCTATCAGGAAGCTCACAAACAACATTACACATTTGAACCTTTGTCTCTAAATTACTGTGTGTGAGGCATGTAGGTCCATGACAGTATAAGAACATCTTTGTAAGAAATAGCTAAACAGAACAAAATAATTTCTGTCCTTCATTTATAACTATTAGGAATCTGAAAGAAGTTCCTCCTCAGAGTTAGGACTTCATAAAGAAAAGCATGCATTGTAGACTGTCTCTGAAATATGAAGTTTTAGAATATATCCCTGTGAGTGAAACACATGCAAATTCAGAAGTCGGGAAAGATGGGAAGCTAGCTTACCTTCCTTATTTGCAAGCAGCCGGTTCCCTCCCTTCCTTCCTTCTCTCTTTCAGTTTTTAGTCTCTGACTCACATCTGGATTCCTCCAACAAGCAAAGCCTATCCAATGTTTAAGGGGTGGTTCACAAATTCCCAGTGATTTTGTGTAAATACACTGTAAGTGGGAGAGGAAAAACACATCTCTGTACTCATCAAGCCTCTCCTTTTTGGGCCTGGTAAAAGAAGTGCCCCAAGCTCCACCCAGGAGAACAAGCACACCTTAAAAATGTGCTTTTAACCTTAAAACCGGTTTTTAGACAAACACTGTTTGCATTTCAGCCTGCTTAGGCAAGTGCTGTTTCCACAAGTGCCAGCTGTAATTTCACTGGTTGTTAATAGCAACACTTTCTTTGTTATTAACTGGGGAAGTGAGGGAAGTTTTTAATATTTAACGCTGTACTGTTTTTAACACTTGATTGGGAGCCGCCCAGGGTGGCTGGGGAAACTCAGCCAGATGGGCGGGGTATAAATAATAAATTATTATTATTACTATTACTACTACTACTACTACTACTATTATTATTATTATTATTATTATTATTATTATTATTATTACTGCAATGCAGTGTTGCTGTTGACCCCTGACATCAGTCAATTAAAGTGTAACCTCAACTATGAACTCACTACATGGCCATAGGACAAGACAGTGTTTCCCAAAGCTCTGTTCTCTATTTTCATTGTAAGAATGACAACCCTGTGTCCTACGCTTCAGGATTACTACTAAAACAACGTACAAAAAGTTAACATTTAATTCCTGCCAGGGACAGCATCGCCCGCTGCTGTGGTGGCAGTGATGGCTGCAGCGCACTCCTTGGAGGCCGGATCAGCTGCCTCCCTGGCAGCCCGCCATGCCACCTCCACAATGGCCTCTTGAAAAAGAGGCACTGCTGGTCTCCTCACACCCCTAGGGAAGAAATGTCAGCAGCTGCCCTCTGGGGTCTACTGGGCTCCGCACCCCACCCCATGGTGTCTGATTCCTACTTAAACCATCAGGCAAGGTTAATTTGATTCCCACCCACCCCTTGTTCTCAATGTAGATCCTCACTCACCCCTTCTTCCCCAACCAAGAGCGGTGGTGCCATTTTGTGGTTCGCCTCAGGTGCCAAAATGTCTTCAGCCGGCCCAGATTCCTGCAGCAAGTTTTTCTTTGTGTGGAATAGCTAGGCCAAACTGCATTAAGCTTCAGGGATCCCGCTTATCCAAGGGTGTATTCTTAACAACCAAAAAATATACACAAGTTCTATAAGGATAACCATGTTTGTTTTTACAGACTACGGTAAATACTAGCAAATCTACTGTCATGAAAGCTCGTGTGGTAAAACTTTCAGTCACAGGATTCTTTGTGGTTTAGATGTCCTATTAATATTTAAGGGCATATATAAGATATTTTAACTATTTCCTTCCTGCTTTTATGTAGATTCAGGGCCAAACTAGGCCAGAAATTAATACTTCGAATCAGTATCTACATTGGGAGGAAATTCCCTATTGCTGCCAGTAGGGGATTTCCTACAAACCCAGATACTTGTTAAATCCCCCTCCACACCTGTTGTGTAGAAATTTTGTTTTCGTTTTTTCCCCTGTGTAAATTTTTTGCAATATGTGAGTCTCTAGTGTCGAATGTCAACATGCCACATTGGGATTTAAATGGAAAATAATAATTAAAGCAAGCATCATGTCCCTTGAAATCCAGGACATTTCAGTCAAATTCCTAGGCAAACACAGGAGATTTGCTCCCTTTTCTTTCGCTGACACCCCACCCCCACTTCTTTTCAGACACATTTCACTTCAGTTCATTCCTTCAGGAAACTCTAGGCCATCAGTCTTGATGTTACCACAGGGAAATGTGTTTCTTGTGCAGTTTATGTCTCTTAGACATTTGCCCGAGGGCCAGTGGTGTGTAGAGAAACAAGATATGCATTAATTTCCTCAATAATTTTACCTGGGGCAAAATGGACACTAATATGTTGCCTTCTGCTGTTCTAAGTTTTGTTCTTACTTCTGCACTGGTAGAGAAACAAAAAAAGAAAGCAATACCTACCTCAGCAAGCTGGTGCTTTATGTTCAGCCATGTCCCAGTACATTCTGTTAGCCATCAGCCTTGCAAAACTCCAGATTATTTCTGGAATCCATTAATGTCTGTTGTTGCCAAACTTCTTAGATATCAGCAAACTAGGGGCCCTTCAGGCATAAATGACCTTTAGGCAACATCATCTGTTCCCTGCCTCAGTAGTAACTGTGGCAACTGAGATATGTAGAGGACAGGCAGCAGCCATGGCTATGAGGCTCTCCAGTAGTCTGTAGACCGAGGGTGGGGGTGGGGCCTGTTGGTCAGTGCAGATCCCTCCCTTTACCAAATGGTCAAACAGGAATGTTCCACTTATGTCTAGCTGCACAGTGCTCTGACCCCAGTGCCACCCCTTGCTTTCAATATTGGGCCTGAGATTGCAGGGTCAAAGAGGCTGTAATTGTGGAACAGCCTAGCTTGTACGTTACATTCTTTACCATGTAATTGTAGAGTTGGAAGGTACACTAGGGGTCAACTAGTCCAAGCCCTGGCATTGCAGCAGTATGCTATGGTTAGGTTGGTAGGAAGAGAGAGTGTGAAACAAAGACTTTTCTCTGCTGTCACTGAATTACTTTTTATTATATACGGGCAATATGTGACTAGGCCTTGAGCAATGCAGGTACAGCTCAGCGAAGTTCTCTTAATGTGATCCTGCAAAGGATTGAGTGTGAAGTTTGAAATGCTCCAAGCAAAAACTTCCTTCCTGATATTTTGCCTTTTCTGACCTTGTAAATCGTGTTGTCAGTGCTTAATCCCACTGGTACACCCCCATGGATATTGAAGGAGGAATGAATATGTTTCAGTTTCAGGCAACATGTGAAATGTTCCCATCTCAGTTTTAGCATTAGGCACGGAAAGCTAAACCCTGATATTTAAATTAATTTAGGTCAATGAACAACTATTATTTTCTCCACAAATTGTTAAGATTTCAAGTGCATAGGGCAAGGGAATCCCCAGGCTTCCACTTGTGAATCCACCAAAGTTCCTAGTCTCTCAAGTACACATACATCTTCTCACCAATGGTTGGTCTGAGGTCTGTTCAGGGGCTGATGATGCTGAATCAGAGATGAGTGATGCTTGTTGGTGTGACCTGAAAGCATGCAGCTGCCTTAATCACTCCTTTAACAGGTCTGAAAGAGTGACCCCTTTGTAGAGGAGGGGCAGAGATGACAGCTCATTTTAGGCTACCTGGCTGTCAGAACCAGTGAATGATTTAAGCACATGACAAAACCTTCTGTTATCACACAACCTGGAAAGCAGATTTTGTATAAAAAACTTTAAAGGCATTCTTTATTGAATGCACAGATACAGGGAAAGGCCAGATGTTGTCAAGAGATCAATTTCCAGGCAGGGAGCAATTGGAACAGCAAAGTCTGAGTGAGGATGTCTATGAAATCTCTGGAAGCTCTTACTGCCCACATATGGAGAAATTCCAAAAAGGAGCCTGTATTAATATATTCAAGTGGGACTGCTGCAGTGGAGACACAGCGGGTCATTTGGAAAGGCTTCAGTTGCAAAATCTCACTTCTGGAAAATGACCCTGCTTGTTTCCCATGCCTTGAAGCCTGACATCAACTAAATAAAAGCGATTGATCTGATCTTCCAGCACTCCAGGCACAGAACTACTGGTGCACTGACAAAAAGAGTTATGAACTTTTTACAATCCCTAAGCACCCATAACTTGTTATGGAAAACAAAATGTTGGCAGAGAACATGTGGTTGCTGGCTGGGCTGGTGAAGGGGGAGCAGAGGTTACTCCACCCAACAGGAAAGGAGGCACTTCTGCAGGCAACTTTGTGCAAAACTAGAAAATACATTACAAGCTTCTGCCACCCTCTACATTGGTTCATGTATTCTTAAAGAATGGTGCTGGGACTCCTCTGACCTTGAAGTCTCTCCCCACCCCCCATAATTTTAGACAGAAGGATGTTAGTTATGCTTTTTTCAGTGGTGAGAAAAGTGTGCTCTACTCATTTTCAACGGCTTTTATATATCTAGTGCATACTTTCAGTATGCATTATGCTTACTGATTCGTACATAAAATGACATTGACCTAAGCCATGCCTATTTTTTATTGAAAAACCCATTTTGCTTTCTCTTACCCCTGCAAACTAGAATTAATGTAAAAACCTAAAAGCTGTCATTATTTATTTCATGGCAGAGGGGGGAGCTGAGACTAGTGACATGTCTGCATTGCATCACAGCTGAAATGTGAGATCCTATGTGCTGAAGCATAGATCTTGATGCAGCGCTTGCTTGAAGGACACCAAATCTGACAAAAGAACATATACACACTCATCCTACATTTTGTTGTTCTGAATTCCCCCGTGTGGCTCAGTTGGCTAAGCTGCTTGGCCCAGTTGCTTTAGTCACCTGGAGCTATTTGTTTTGCACATTCCTTGTTCATAGTTCCTTTCTGGATGTGGCAAACTATGATACAGATTATGTGGATCCATCTGCAACATGACTGCTAAGTGGCAACTCATGGAGTTGGCATTTTGGTCTCTTCTAGCTTAATGACTCATCAGTCTTTTTCAATAGCATTTGTACAGGAAATTTGCTTCAGGTGGCAATATAGTGATTTTTTTTGACCCAATGTAGAGAACAATCGTAGTTGCTAACTTAAATTCTTGTGTTGAATTAAGGATCCTACACAGGAGACCAGAAGTGTAGTTCTACTCCATTCCATAATTATTATCACTAGACCTTCTAAATATCACAGAACAGAGAGTGGTAATCTATCTATGAGTGTTTCAACATGGCCTTTATCACTGAACTACCACCACTGATCAAATATGAATCCTTCAGAATGGAAGACCTATAGTTCAGTGGTAGAGATTACAGCTTTGTATGTAAAATAATATTAGGGAGCAGGTGAAGTAAAAATCCCTGTCTGAGACCTTGGACAGCTGTTGCCAGTCATATCAGCAGCACTGGGATATGTGGATGAATGGTCTAACTCAGTATGAAGCCGCTTCCATGAGCAATTAGAGGTGAAGAAATACACACAGACCAAGACCAGCTACTATTTTAAGAACATACTTTATACAAAATAACAAATTCTTATGGAAATAAAATCTACAGATCTCCAAGGATCAAGCTTATTTTTTTAAAAAAGGATCCTTAAAAAAATTACCCAAACACAGAAAATTAAACTAACTATTGAGGTAACTGTCGCTCTCAGGGAATCAGTAGACCAAGACGAAATATACACAATATAAAAATAAATAGCATTCCCCTTTCCAGTATTGACCAGGAGAGTTCAAACCCAGCTCTTTGCAGCAGCAAAAGAGTAGAGGAAAGGATCCCTGATGCTGTGCTCCATGGGCAAGGAAAGTGATCAGGGTTTTTTCAGGAGCAGTGGAAAAGGCAGCCAAGTGAGGTACCTGAGTCCCAGTTGGGGAAAATAGAAGAGCACACGAGGAGGAATTCACAGTCAGTCAGTCAGTCAGTCAGTCTTATATCAGGTGTTACCTCTCCAATTAACGGGCCCTCTTGACAGTAGCTTCCTGCCACACTAACAAGTTCAGTCTGCTATGGTGTGGAAGACTCATGCCGGCTCCCTTTCAAAACTAATTGAGAAATTCATTTATCCAGCCAGACACTGCCATGTGCAGTCCAAACAATGTCAGATTCCTCCCAGAGTTTTTCAGTAATGTATTTTCACAGCTTGATGGTGAGAGGACACTTGCAGTCACCGCTCGTAGTCCTGTTGACCAGAAGATATTCCAGCTGTTTGACAGAGACCAGGATCCAGCTTGCAAGTCAAACATCAGACTTCATCCAGAGGAACGTTCTCTCTTCTCCTTTTGCCCCCAAATAGGCAAATTACATTCTTTACAATCTTAATTACAATAATACAGTCCCTCCCATCCCACCCACCAAATGACCCAGAAAACATTTCAGGAATGATGGAGATTGGCAAAAAAATTGTCAAAGCTCAACCACTTCAAATTAAAAACCAAAAGTATTGTTAGAAATTCTCAGATCACTAAGAAATATATTCTCTAGCAACCAAGCCTGTTCTTTTGTGTCTCTAGTTAGAAAACTTCTTTCTTGCTGTCCTTCCTAACCATGGGGAAAATATCTCATTCTACTTAGACAAAATGCAGTAGTGCACGCAAAAGCTGAGCAGTAGAAAAAAGTACTCAAACATTGAGCAAGATACGATTTTTGTATGTGTAAAATCAGGAGCCGGACTGAAAAACTAACTTCCTAACCTCAACAGTAATTCAAGTTCCAGTCACTAGTCCCAATTTTTAGGCACCAGTGATCTCTGGATTTTTTTACTTCCCTGCAGTGGACTCCTATGATATACTTAACTTTTGTAACGGGGAAACCTGGAGAAAGCACAGTAACTGCTCTGCTTTTATTGCTAAATAGTCAAGCTGTAGTGTGCACTGAACTATTATGGAAGAACAAAGCATTAGTAGATGCCAGGGTGCATAAAATATGAACTATAACTTGCATTTATATCCAAAGGAGAATTCAGCACCATGACACTTGGAAGCTCCTGTTTAACATCAGTGAAGTCAGCTGCAGAGGGAATTAAATTCATTGTATAACAGTGACATCTTGTGGTCAGTACAGAATGTGGCTAAACCCAAAGAATCACTGACATTAGTGGTAGCACTGATCACCTACAGCTAAGAGGAATTCCCCACCAGGATTCATTGGAGCCTTCAATGCTCTGACTACAGAAAGTATGCAGCAATTTGGCAGCTGTTAATATTGCAATAAGCACCTGGTATACTGCCAATGCTAAACAAGTACTTAGTAGAAATAATTACACAGTTTGAAAAATTTCATAGAAATCCTTTAGATTCTTGCCAGAAGACATAGGAATTAAAAACAGTAGGGCCTGCCAACTACATTTAGCTCCCCATCGATAACAGTCAATATCCCTACTGTGTTGTTGCTCATCAGACCTGAACCTTATCAAAGAAACATTCACGTTATAGTAAAGCAAATTTCTGATACGTGCTAATCAGCAAGAACCTCTTTTGTTACTCTGTTGTCAGCCAAGTTATATTTTCGATTCCTCCAACCCAAACATTCATCAACAGCACCCAAAATTTGTAGTTAGTCAAATTCTGTAGCTGTCTGCCACCCACTCTGACTCTCCAATCTGGAGAGGGGCAAGATCATATTTCAGATGTGCCATGTTGTGGCGGTATTCTAACTTTGTGAAAAATCTGGGCAGTTCAGAGTGCCTCTGAAACTCAAATGGCTGCAAAGGTAACCCCTAGAGAAAATGGAAGGACTTGTGGCTAGATTTCTGAAGTCTCCAACACCCAAAACTGAGTGGAAATGCAAGGGCAAGCTTCTCCACTCTCCTCTCATTTTGCACTCAGCAACTTACAAATATGCTCACCACTGGTAAGTGCATTTTGGAGTCCTGTTCACCACCATCTCCCACAATCAACCTTTGGAGTCTCTTTCAAAATCTTATCTGTTTCATTTCCACATTCATAACAGGATTAATTTAGGTCTGCTGCTGTCTGCTTCTATGTATGTATTCCTACTTGGTTTCAGAACACTTGACTATTTCAACATTATGAAATCTCACATCTGGCACTCCTCACTGTAAACATAGGCACAAGTATTGGAAAAGGTATGCCAGAATCAGTCCTTATTTTCTTAGGTATGTTTCCCTAATATATAGCAGTGAAGAAAAACATATTCTTTAAAAAATATTTAATTCAGTGATAAATGTGGGCACTAAAGGAGATGCTCCACACAATGCTTGAATTACTGGGGTGTGGGGGAGGAGAGGGGACCTTCTTATAGTTTATTATAGAATAGATTAGGAAATATTGCTTCAGGATAGCATGTGTCTGGCTGCTGGGAGGGAATGGAAGAGCAGCTGCATCTCTCTCATGGAGAAAAGGCCTTATAAAATCAGAGGCATATTTGTTTTTCAGTCAACATACATATAGGATAATGTTACACTTAAATATATAGGAAATAAACACTTCCTTTCACTGAGAAAAAACCAGTATTGCTGAAAGAAAACTTCAAATCTTGCATATTCTCCTCATACAAAGATACAAACTATGTTTTCTGGTTTCTAGGCCCTGTACATCATCTCCTGCTTCAAGTTGGGACATATGATGACACAAAGGAATGGCCAGAGAACTCTGTGATCAAATAGTGCTAACTTATTGATAAAGGCTATATTGGAATGCTACCAAATGAAGAAAGCACTGTGCACTGCCAGGGAGCCTACTGAACTGTCATGTCTGTCAGATCCTTATTTTCAGTTCGACCAACACATTGCCTCCACTCTCCAAACACAGGAAAATGCAAACCAACTTCAGATCTAGAACTGAGACATCAACTGAAATACACAACTACTTTTTACAATAGGCACACTATTGATGTACTGCTGATATTTGCTGTTTTGTTTGAATTAGAAGTATTTCATATATCCAAGCAGTGTAGCATTCCCCAGTATCAGTAATACCTCTGTTTGAGGATCATAGACCATAATTGATAACAAGACACTATAAGGAGTAAAACAATTCATCCAACTAGGAGGATTTAATTACCAATATTGGTAATTAATACCAGTCAATAGTGGTTTTTAATGCCTAGGTAATTATTTTGATGAGGGAAACTCACCCTCCCCAAAAAAAACTCGTATAGATATTGTTTACATGATTAACATTTACCATTAACACTTTCTCTTTCTTTTTAGTGTGTCTGCTTTAGGAAAGGATTTATTCTTCCCTTCCTGCTTCAGAGAGAAGTATGCAGGGGTCATTATGTGCCTCTTTAAAAAAGGTTTCTTCCACATGGAAGGCAGGGGTCCTGCGGGGCCAGAATGTGTGGCACCCCATCTGTATCTTAAACAGATACAGATGGGTAGAAGTGGGGAGGTTATTGCTTGAGATAGTTCTTTCATTACAAGAAGCACAAGCTTTGAAGCCCATTATCAGTCCATCTGCAGCTGTGCCACTCATCTATCTTCGCCATCCAAAAGGCTCACACACTTATTATTCAACCACTCATGCCAAAATTACGACAGAACAGGAACTGGGAAATAGCAAAAGCTTCCCATCAACTTTTAAAAGAAAGAACACCACTATCCTATTACAATGCCTTCCTAGGAGCCACTAACATCCATATATTTACAGATACTGAGTAGCAGTTTGTGGGACTCTGCTACTCTTCTGAGCCAATCTGCTGCTCCTGCCACCATAAATCACACTAAGTTCCCCACACCTCACACCTCCCCTCTCAGCAAGTGCCAGAGACCTGCTCTGTTGGGAAACCAGGAGAGCAACAGAGTCCTACCCTCATCGGACATTACTGTAGATACTAGAAGCTATCTCATAACTCCAATGTGCTAATAAGCTCATGTAGATCATTTAAACCCAACCTAACAAGCTCATTGCACACACAAGCTTTCACATGCAATAACCTGCTTCACAGTTCTAATGAAAGTGTGCTCATTGCTCTCTAAAGTATATCTCACGACAAACCAGTGAATCTATAAGGTGCCACAACATTATTCTTTTGTTTGTTTGTTTCACAGACTAAAATGACTACGGATTTGGAATGTATTCCTGATTTTTTGGGGGGAGGGGAGAATACTATGCTAACTTGTGGCCCACCAGATGTTGGGATTACAGCTTCCACCATCCTTGAATGTTGGCCATGTTGACTGGGACTGATGGGAGGTAGTGGAACAACTTCTGCAAAGCCAGCAGCCAGCCACATCTGCTATACAAGGAATGGGAATTTTTCTTCTCTAGTTTATGAAGTTATCAGGCAACAGACTAACTGCCTGCAATGAGGCTATGACTCTGGGCTAGAGTTCTATTTTAAAAAAACCACAACTAATATAAATTCATTCGTGGGAAGGAGAAAATCAGTAGGGGAAGTGTTGTTTGAAACAAAAAACGTAAGTTTGAAAAATTATTTCAGGGCCTAGGTGCCAGCGTCTGTTTTTTTCCTTTGAAAATGACTGTCCATGAGCTGTGTACTCTAATTGTATTAGGTTAGCTGGAACTGCCACTGGAGATGTGGCCGTGGTCCTTTTTTACTTGCTACTTGTACTAGACATGAGAATGAGAATAGATTTCTGGCTCACATGCTCCTTTCTCTGCTTTCCATGGGCACAGAGGAGCTCAAATAAACATGGAATTTTTCCTGTTCAGTCACTAACTTCTACACACAGTGAGACGAGGGAGTGAGCACTTAGGATATACATTGAAGCTCACTCCAGGCACAATCCAAGTAAACAAATGGGCAGACCTATGGCATCCATCAACAGAATATAGTAGTGCCTAGTGAAAATGTTCACACTCTGACTGAACGTGTGTCCAGGCCTGGCGAGAGCCACATACTTAAGACAAATCAGAACGCCATATTATTGTATTCTAGGTGCCACTGAAAGCATCACAGATGCTGCATAAGAAACCCTTCTGTAATATTCTCACAGGCCTTTGTCTCCGGTTCTAGCGTCTTTAAAGAGATCTTTGAAAACATTGGCATTACATGTAACAACATTCTCTTTTCTTATCCCCATAATCTCAGCTTGGGTGTATGACAGGGTAACTATTATTCCCAGTCAGAAATGTTTGCGAAAAGGCTGCTACAATTCTAAACAAGATTTCCAAATTTCTGGAAATTCTAGTTTGCTGGTTTCCTAGTTCCAATAGTGGCAGGAACTAGCAGTGCATACAATTCAAGGGCAAGATTGGGGAACACTGATTTCTCCTGAGCAACACCTGTGGCCAGTTGCCAGGCAATGCCTTAGCCCCAGGTAACCAATAGGTGGTGTTGATAAAAAAAAATCAGAAAAAAATTATTTCCTGCATCTACCCACTCCTGAAGGATTTCAATGTGACATGATTGTAAACATATTATGATCATCCCAGTGCTATGTCCACAACATTTGAGGCCTACCACTCCCACCCTAATAATGTACAATACATTCACCAACAGAAATATTTTTTCTTTTAAAAGGCAACAGGTTAAAAAAAAATATGTAAACTGGATTCCATTCCAAACACACATATTAATACAAGTACTTTCCATAGCCTCCTGTCTTTCACCCTGAAAAATATACCTGAGTTTCAGCAGTTCATGAAATTTCAAGCTCCTCAAACAGAGCCCCTTTAAACTCTTAATGAAACCTAAGTCTCTGGTGAGAAATATGTCATTAGATCAAGTTGCTCCCTCTGTGTCATTGCGACAGTCCTATGAGGTGCTCTATTCCACCAGACCTTGGAAAGAGATGCTTCTGGGAAAGAAGATGAGTGTAGAAAGTATATTTCCCTTTGCCCTCATCCACTCATATGTGGCTCTCATCTCCATCAAATCCTTCCAGCCTTAGACTAACTCTGAAAAGGGACAAACAAAAAAGTGATGATTATTTGTTTCAGAAGTAGTTTTCTAAATAAATAATAAAGATCAAGCTAATAAAGATCATAGAATCATAGAATCATAGAGTTGGAATAGACCACAAGGGCCATCGAGTCCAACCCCCTGCCAAGCAGGAAACACCATCAGAGCACTCCTGACATATGGTTGTCAAGCCTCTGCTTAAAGACCTCCAAAGAAGGAGACTCCACCACACTCCTTGGCAGCAAATTCGACTGTCAAACAGCTCTTACTGTCAGGAAGTTCTTCCTAATGTTTAGGTGGAATCTTCTTTCTTGTAGTTTGGATCCATTGCTCCGTGTCCGTTTCTCTGGAGCAGCAGAAAACAACCTTTCTCCCTCCTCTATGTGACATCCTTTTATATATTTGAACATGGCTATCATATCACCCCTTAACCTCCTCTTCGAGCTTCAACACTATATTAAATGTGTAAAAACCACAATTTTGGTTTTAAATAGTAGCTGCAAAGGGAGGGGGGAAATCAGGACAGCAACAAACAATTTTTACTTCTTGGAGGAGGGACAAAGATTTTCTTGGGGGGTGAGGGGGATGATCTTCTCCAGGACTGTGCAGTTTATTTATTATTTTAAAATTTTATATCATGCTTTTCACCATCTAGGTCTCAAATAGGTATATAACAATAAAAAATACAAAATTTAAAATTTAAAACATAAACATCACAAAATTAAAACCTCAGAAATTTAAAATATCAATTATTTAAACAAGAACATGAGAAAAAAATTAAAATACCAGAGAATCATTCATGAGGCAAAGTCCTCCTGAAGTAAGATGGTTTTAACAACACCTGAAACTCAGCAGGGAGGTGCCTGTCAGACTTCTAATTGGGAAAAAGTTCCATAGAGTTTGGCCAACAATATCGAAGGTGCAACTTCTTGTTGTGAGTCATGCTTCTGGTCCATGGGGGACCACTAGCGATTGGGATGTACAGAGAAAGGTGTTTCTTAAGGTATCTTAGACCAAAAACATTCATGTTTTGCGCACTAATACAAGAACCTTTACCTTGGCCTGGTAGCAGAGGAGAATCCAGTACAAGTCTTTCAACAATGGTATCAAGTGTAGGTGATCCATTCAAGGTAGGCAACATGGGGGGGGGGGCAGGCAGATGGTGTGTGGGAAGAGTGGCTTAACTCTCCCTGCCCCTTCACTCACTCAATCCCAATCGTGCCAAATACCATCCCCCCCTAAAAGCTGCTTTTCCTCCAAAGGGGGACTGTGACTGCTACTCTGACCATCTCCTCCTCCCCACAGCTATTTTTAAAAACAAACACACATGCACATGTAATGTATCATTATTCTGGCCACCAGGTGGCACAATATCAGAGCAGCCTAACAAGAAACTGATTTTACACCCTTTGAAAGCAAAGACTGAGAAATACACCGCAGTTATTTCATCAACCTAGGACAGAAATCATTTTTCATTTTTAGAAGGACTTAATAAACAGCCATGTCTAATGAATTAAGAGTAAGAACTTGGTGTATTGGCCCAAAAGGAGTGAAGAAATCCCCAGTTCAAATTTTGCTGCAGTTAGAAAGGTTATGCTCTCCCAGTTGCAGTTTTCTACCAACTGCAATAAGAAGATTGTAATGCATGCCTGACATAATAATGTTGTTGTATGTAACACTGAGAAGGGCTTTGGTCCAATCCAAAATGCAATGTGAATGCAGCATTCATTGTTTTTGGTTGTTGTTTGTTGTTGCTGCTAGCAGTTGGCTTAGTATGATTTCTTGCTTACCATCAAAAAAATCTAAGCCTAAGCAAAAGCGTGCACAATATTAAAGCAATCCCAAGAATAAATATCACTCACCAAATTATAATAAAAAGTATGGCCTACCATTGGTTCTGCTTTCTCCCTTCCCACAAAAGCTACTAATACTCACATATTTCATGCATCATGGTGCAACACAAACATCATTCTCTATAATCTGTCCTTTATTTGTACTTACTTGATCCAGAGGCAATGCCGGTGTTTTTTGTGCTGGAGGGTCTTCCCGGGCTGGTGTTGTGGTAGGCACCTTTAAGAATGGGGATTGTGGCTGGTGCATGTGCATTCTGGAATCATACACAATGGAAATGGCAACCTTAGCAATGGCATAAACACATAGTTTATGCAAAGACGTATGTTCCTACAATGGGAAATTCATTTGGTGGAGATTCACCATTGGTAGGTATACTAAGGCCTGGGGGCCGGATCCGGCCCAATCACCTTCTAAATCCGGCCCACGGACGGTCCGGGAATCAGCGTGTTTTTACATGAGTAGAATGTGTGCTTTTATTTAAAATGCATCTCTGGGTTATTTGTGGGGCATAGGAATTCATTCATTTCCCCCAAAAATTAAAGTCCGCCCCCCTACAAGGTCTGAGGGACAGTGGACCGGCCCCCTGCTGAAAAAGTTTGCTGACCCCTGTGACATACACGGTTAGATCTACATCATATCCCAAGTTCTCTGTATCTGATTTTATCTGGTTGCGGAACATAAATTAGATGTACATCCCTTAACTCTCCTTCACTATAAAAAAGAGAGAACAATGAATTAATCTAAATTTTCCTGCACAAAATCTATGGAGAATAAGCTTGGATGGTCTACAAAAAGAAGTGATGTTAGTATTGTAAGCAACCTTCAACCTTTACTACTGAATTGTTATCTCAATCAATATGAAGTAGATGAATAGCTTTCTCCCTAAAAAAAATACAAGAAACCTTATTGATAACTTCAACAAATGAAAATAAATTCATGGTTTAGTAGTATAATTCAGGAAAAACACTGCCCTAGGATCCACTGAGATGAAGGGTCAGCTAGTCAATCAATCAATCAATCAATCAATCAGAAAGTCAGTTCTCCCCTCTTCTACCCATGGTGTGTATGCACTGCCAGCTCCTGTTAACAAGTGAACAAAAATATAAGGAACTGGAATTTCCATAAGACAGGAAATTCTGTGTGAGATTGCAGCAGTCACTTCTAAATAATTTCAGGTTGTCAGTAAGAGTAAAAACTTAAAATATGAGCCAAGATTGTGGGGACAAGAACTGTAAATGTTGCTCCATGTAATGTTAATGTGCTGGAAGATCTATATAAGGATACCAAAACCACGGATAAGGGCCTGTGAGGGCATTACAGGTATGAACAGAATCAAAACTATCAGATCAATCCCATCTCTCATTGCAAGGTGACTTGTGAAGCTCTATCACACATGGTAGTGATGTGTACTGTTCATTGCTGCTCTTTAGAATCTCACCTTTATGACAGCAACTATCATTCAGCACTCTTCCCCACCCCCTGGCATTCTTCCCCCACCTCATTGTCCCATGGAGAACAGTCTTACCCTGCTGTTCTATACATATCTGGAGACAGTCCCCCCATGCCACCTCCACGTCCTGTCTGTTCCATCATTAAGGCCTGAAAGTGCCCCACATTCTCTTCCTGGCAGCGGTAAAGAGGTCCCTCGTGAGCAAGACCATTGGCTTGATTGGTGGCTGGAAGATGTGCCAAGTGAGCATTCACAGGTGACCCATAAGCTCTGGACTGGAAGTGACCGGTGGGATGTCGTGGTGCATAAGGTGACCCTGTCTGCAGCATGACACTGTGCGGTGGGAAAGCAGAGGGACCAAACCCAAGCCCAGAAGAACTCATGGGTGGTGGTGAACTATACAGGTATTCTCCTGCTGCAACTGATCTCTGTCTCTTGGTGGCTGCATTGTGGTTGTCCAAATCAAGAAACTCTTTGGGACTCTCAGGCCTCTCTTGGGATTCATCCATTTTCTCAGCCTCGGGTGGCAGCTCTTGCCCACTGCTGGGAACCTCTTTGGTGCTTGCCATGTCCATTCGGTTTGGGGAAGCCAAAGAAGTGGTAAGCACTTCACAGCCCTGCATGCCGCTGCCCATGGTCGCTCTGTCTGAGAAAGGAGGCCTGGCCAGAGGTGATGGACCAGGTGGATGACCAGTGGGACTGGACTGGGGAGGGAAAGGCCTCTGCCAGTCTGAATATCCCTGTGGACAAGGATAGTAAGGAGGCTGCTGGTAGTGGTGATAGGAAGGAGGAGGTTGAGGCTGGTAAGGGTATGGCATGCCCTGGTGGGAACGGTAACGAGGGAAAACCCCATGGGGACTGTTACTAGGCTGAAAGCCTCGGGCAGAAAAATGTTGAGAATGGGATACTGGGTGGGGTTTCCCTCCCATCATAGGATTAAATCCCTGCAGTCCTGGATTGATGTGATAGCGTGCTGCTGAATTTGGATACTCCAAATTGGGCATGTAGAGAGGGGCAAACTGGCCAGAGGTGCCTCCTGCCGGACTGCTATCCATGGCAGCAGGAGTATTGGTGCTCTGTCCCACGCAAGGCACAGTTGCTTCCAGCACGTTTTTCCCCCCAGTGCAACGCGACTTCTCCATTATATTAGCAGCCACTGTTTTCCCTTCAGTGCCAGTGGATGGTCCATCACCTATAGCACCATTTTCAGGCACAGGCCCCCTTTCTGTCGCTGTTACAATGTCCTGCGCACATCCTTGGGCTGCTGAACTTGTGTAGTTACTCTCCGCTGGCCATGTGCTCTTGCTCTGTGTTGCTTTTGGATCATTTTTAGTTCCAGAATCAACACCCTCCCCTTCCTGGGTCTGCCTGGAGCAATCCATTTGCAAGGGAAGCTTGGAATGAGGTAGCAGCTTGGGGTATGTGCCCTCTGGAAGGCCAATACACTGGGCTTTCTCTTCCACTCCTGGTGGAGGGTTCACTGTGCAAAATGAAGCAAAGAGAAGTTAAATCTTTTTCATCACATGAACTGACAACATCCAGAAAAATTACAGTGAACTCCAAGGTCCAGTATAGACATAATATTAACTTGGTTTTTATGAATGGGAGTTTAGAGCATCCCTATAGTTATTTTTATCAGGCTTAGCAACAATAACATGCAATACTGAGCCATGTTAAAGGGGAGTGGGACAATTTAGTGTGATTGAGCATGTGTGTCAGAAGGGAGTGTGTGATCCTGCAGCCTGCTCCCAATCTCTGAACCCAGTTAACATCACATTTACACAAGGCTTGAGTGAAACTCCACCACCTATTAACTTCACAATTTTAAGTACAGCAGGAACAGTGAAGAAATGTAAATGAAGCCCCCCCCCAGATTTGCTTCACGATTAAAATGGTGCTAGAAGAAGACTGTTAACATTCTACAAACATCACATAAACATGGGATGTGGAGACATGCTAACCATGATGCAGGTATGCAGCTCCTGTTAATTTCAAAGGGCTTGAATGGGAAAAACTTACAGTATACTTGTATCAAAATAAATTCTTACTCTGCTGCTCTAAATGGTGTCCAATAAAATCTACTAGTCACCTTACTTTCTCCCATGGCCACCTATGTGTGGACATGCCATAGTAAAGCATCAAATAGACAGCCCCCCCCCCAACCCGATTCACCAATGACAACAGCAGTCCCTAACTCTTTACAGATGCTTGGGGCAAATGGACATAAATCAGTTGCTCAACTGATGAAGCCACCATATTTTGCCTTAGCAGATCAAGAACATGCAATTACCTTGGTTGTTCTCTGAATCAACTGTCTGGCTGGTGTCCTGAGAGTTCCCATTCCCTAAAACTGTTTTTGGAGGTTGAATGTTCATAGATGCTACATGGGCCAGTTGTGGAAATGGTCCAGGCAAGTGGGGGGGAGGAGGCTGACGGGGGTGGTAAGGCACACCAGGTGGGCATACCCGGGAGGACAGCTGTTGCATGGCAATCATCTCTGGACTGTCCATCATGGAATCCCCACCTTGGGTTCCTCTTGGCATTTGTGTGGGAGGCCCAAATAATGAGGCTGGTAGCTGCTGCTGCATTCTCTGACCAGGGCCTTTTCCTGGTTGTCGGATATATCCTGAGGGTGGAGCTCCATGAGGTAGGAAATTGGATTGCTCAGTCCACTGATTAGGTGGCAAAGGTGGTCTCAGTACCTGAGGGTCCATCATGTGGCTCAACGCACGAGGCGGACCCATTGAGGGTCGCTTGTCTACTCCCAAGGTCATCTGGTTTACTGTATCATGGCTTCCATTCCACACAGCAGGATGTGCACGGTTTAGGTACTTATAGGGCCTGTAGACATGTCCAGGGGGAACCTCTGAGGTCTCTGTTTGTCTTGTAGGGGGTCCATTGTGCCTTGGAGAAGGGAATCCTTGCTGAAATTGTGCAGGGGAATACATACTGGCATCTGAGGGAGGACCTGCCATCCGACCAAGTTGAAGGGATCCAGGCTGTGGTCCTATTGTGGAGACGTGCATTGGTCCTGCACATACCTGCTTCTCTGGAGCAGGAAGCCGATGTCCTCTGGGATCATTCAATCCAACTGTAGGCTGCGGAAGGAAACATAGGGAAATGAGGCAGGTTCAATGTGGACATAGGAAAATCAAAGTCATTAGTAACAGATATATAACAGCAAGAATCAAGACTACACTTTAACCAAGAATCTAGAACATTATATTATTATTATTATTATTATTATTATTATTATTATTATTATCATTATCATCATTATTATTATACTACCCCTGCATCCGTAGATCTCAGGGCAGTTCACAACATAAAAATACAAGATTAAAAAAAAACATAATAAAAACAAGAACACCCTCACCCCCTCCCACAACACATTTAAAAAGGTATCAGATTGATTACGTTCACCTGGCACCTAAAGGTGTATAATGAAGCTGCAAGCTGAGCCTTCCTGGGGAGAGAATTTCACAAATGGGGAGCCTCCACAGAGAAGTCTGTTTTCATGTTACCACCCTCTGAACATCTCATGGAGGAGGCACATGAAGAAGAGCCTCCGATGATTATCATAGGATCTGGGTTCATCTGGAGAGAGGCGATCCTTGAGGTATTGCAGTCCTGAGCCATTTAAGGCATTATAGGTCAAAACCAACACTTTGAATTGGGCCCAGAAACTAACTGACAGCCAGCACAGTTGGGCCAGGATTGGCGCTATATGCTCAAACCATGTTGCCCCAGTGAGCAGCCTGGCTGCTGAATTCTGCACCAATCAAAGTTTCTGAACCATCTTTGGAGGCAGCCCTATGTATAGCACATTGCAGTTATCTAACCTAGAGGTTACCAGAGCATAGAAACAATAGATGTTAGGTTATCCCTGCACAGATATGGGCACAGATGGTCCACCAGCTGAAGCTGATGGAAGGTACTCTGCATCACTGAGGCCACCTGAGGCTCAAGTGACAGCAAAAGATCCAGGAGTACCCCCAACCTGCCCCAATAGCAATAGTAATAAGACCATGAATAAGTAATTGTTTGTAATTTGTAAGACAGAATCAAGGTTTCCTTACTGCAGACTTGCATGCAGTTCTTAAATATGCAGGTGGCAGCTCCTTTCAGATTAAGTTTCCTACCTGCATGACAAAGTGCTGATGCTGCTGACCTGGCTCACCAGGGTGTGGTTCTGGTACTCGTGGTGACCCATATGGTTTTGCTGGATCAGACCCATGCAAAGAGCCAAATGGTCCTGGCACTGCTGGTCTCTGTACAGAAAAACAAAAGTCACCTATGCAACTTAGTAGAAGATGGAATTTCTACAGTCACAAACTTCAGTCATTTCAGATTGAGGAGCCACCTTTCACTTTAAACTGCAAGATGGCACCAGGGAGACCCAGATTCAGTACCTCACTCAGCTATGATGTCTTTGAAGTGACACTGAACCAATCACCCATTCTTAGCCAACAGAGCTGCAGTGGTGAGATTTTTAGAGAGAAAATTAAGAATGCTGCCCTTGAGGGATGGGGGGATGGATGGGTAATGAAAGAAATAATTACATTTTTAACAAAGCTAGTGTCATTGTTTCACAACAGCATTCTAATCGGTTTTTCATAATTGGTGTAAGTACCAATCTGTTTATTAATATCTTCTTTGTTGTTACCATAACATTAATGCCCTTAAATGTTTTGCAAATTATTTGACCACTCCATTAATCAAATCTTCTTCTTCTTCTTTTACTAGTAAAATGCTCGTTCTTAGTCAAGACCCATCCACTGAATATCAATGCACTAATGAAGCTGATAAATTCACCAGTTAGGAGAACCAAATATGCCTGTGAGAGGAAGAGCATCCTTTTCTACTTCCTGCCTAGCCTCTTGTTTGTTCTCCTGGGAGGTAAATCTGATAGATAAATCATGTCACTGCCTCTGATTCTCCACAGATGCATCACAGCAGAAGCACACAGGCTGCACACAGCACTCCAACAATCAAATTCACAAATGCTGGCAATTCTAATAAGAACAGTATTTTCACCACTTCCTACCCCTTTCCCTCCCACGATTTAAAATGGCAGTAACCCAGCTTCCCCCTTCTAAGCATGTACAGCAGATGCCGTCTGCAGCAGCTTTGCTGCAAACCTGGGAAGTCAAATGCAAATGTGAAATTTAACTAGCACAGCTATAAAACTCTGGAATTGTCTCTCTGGAACAGTTTTGAAAGAAACAAATCCTACTGTGGTTGAGTCAGGGCCAAGCAATTTTATGAATCCAACCTTAAGGTTATTTATTCCTGGGAACACTTGGTCGCTTTTGCTGAGGGTGTGATTGATTGCCACATTTGAGGTTTGGTAGGAAATTCCTCCCCCATCATATTAACCATTGACCCAGGAAAACCATTAGGGAGAGGCTGGGAAGTGTGCACTCTCCCTTGTTTGCGGAACCATCCAGAGCAAAATGCTCCATTGCCAAACTTTTGAATATACCACCTCTCTGATAGTGAGCATAATAATGCCTGTGAAGTGAGACTAAGAGGGAAGATGGCTGCACTAGATTTTTTCTTTCTTTTTCAAATTCTGATTCTATTAGTAGAAATTCAGACTGTATTTCTTTGTAGTTAATTTTTTAAAAAAGTGGTTACATGGAAAACAATCCTTCCACACCTTTTATCTTCCAGACAAGGTCTAGCACCACCCCACCACCCCAATCTGGGTTCGTTCAAGTCCAGTGTAAACTGCACCAAGAAGGAAGGAATAGGGGAAGGAAAGAAAACATGAAGTCTGTTATAAAAAGGAAAAGAGGTGTGTATTAGCTTGGATACTTAATGCTACTTCCTCCCATTTGCTGGTGTTCCTTTTGTAACTCCCGCCAAATAATATTTTTTCCAGTTGGTCCACTGGAGTGGGACTCACCATCTGCCCTGGATGGGATACACGGTTGGGCATTCCACCATAGCTATGTGAGCTCAGGAAACCTCGGCCATTGGAAGAGGCCACTTCTCCAGAGGGATGAATAGAACTACTACTTGGACCCTCGGCAGAGAAGAAGGAAGAAGAGGAAGAAGTAGGCACTCTATGTTTCGCCTTGTGAGGTGGAAGTTTTCCTCCATTTTGCACATGCTGTTGTCTCTTGCCAGGTCCTTCAGAGTCTCTGGATCGAGTCCAAACATTCCCTGTGCTGGAACGTATAGTCCGACGGCTTCTTTTCTCTCGCTTCCCATCTTCTCTGATCCAGAACTCATCATCTGTGTCCCCATCTTCTCCAGGGAAGTGCTTCATCATTGCCCGGTGGAAGCATCTTTCTAAGTTATAAGCCATTTTAGTGTATTCTGTGTTGAAAGAAGCAAATCAAGGAAAGTGAGTTTTATGGGTAGTTACATTTTTCCGCTGCTGAGAACTGCCTTTGGAATGTAGGTTATTCTCTCTCTCTGCTTTTACTATGTTTTTAAAAAGGAAATAAAATACAACCAGAGCTGGAAAACTGGAAGCTTTCAATGCATCCCTTCAGTAACATTCCTTATTTTAAATTATCAATATAATGCAAACTGTAATACAGACAGATGCCTCTGTGGTGTGTTTATTAAGCACATACAGTGGTACCTCTGGTTACAAACTTAATTCATTCCGGAGGTTCGTTTTTAACCTGAAGCCGTTCTTAACCTGAGGTACCACTTTAGCTAATGGGGCCTCCCGCTGCCGACTCACAATTTCTGTTCTCCTCCTGAGGTAAAGTTCTTAACCCGAGGTACTACTTCCGGGTTAGCGGAGTCTGTAACCCAAAGTGTTTGTAACCCGAGGTGTTTGTAACCCGAGGTACCACTGTAATGGGACGACTCCACTTTAACTGGTAGACCCAAATAAAAGAATGGAATTCAGCAGTGCCCCATGTCTGTCAGCTTGCCAGAAGGAATGATTTGTCCTTCCATGTGCTGTTCTGGTGTTCTCCTAAGTCAATTGGGGGGCAGGGGGCAGTGTGAGGGGAAACCCCATAAAACAAGCAGAAGTCTTTGTGAAGGGCTTCCACTGACAGGGCTCTTTGAGTGAATCCCATCCACAATATTTTAGTAAATGATTCATAATGTTGCCGGATAATGTAAGGTCACGCAAATTCAGAAGACCACACTCATCTTTTTCTCTCTTTTTTAGTGTGCAGCTGCTACACAGAGCTTAATACAGAAATGCTAGCCACACAACTGGAACTCTGCACATGAAGGAACTATGCTTCAACTATATGCACATGGCAATCCTACAGATTATGTCAACAGTTAAGCACATTTCTCTTTGTGTACTGTTGCATTTTGTGTATGTGGGGAATCCAGCCTCTTTAACAAGGTTAGGATTCTGAGAGCCACAACTTTTTGAAAGATGATGCCTCTGGTCTAACAGTAGCACAGAATAGCATGAGGACATAAAGACTGTGGTCTGAAAGAAGATCATAAAAAGAGCAGTTTTTCCTAATGCCAGCTGATATAAATTCAGCTGACAGCACAGTTCCCAATCCTTTCCCTATAACTAACACTAACTATATAACTAGCATGTTCCCCAGCTTATACCAGCTTATTAACTTTCTGCCACTCTAGTCCATGCTGCATAGTTGAATTAAATAATAATAATCTGATTCCTGCAAGCAGGATAGACTCTGCCAATTACACTGTTGTTGGCATCCATCCATCTTGAGAGACAATGGAATGCACCTCTTCTCCGGTGAGCAAGCCTGGGCAGTATGTATGGAGGTCCTGGGCTACCCAGACAACAATACCCCACTCTCAGCCCTGCTGATGTGGTCCAAAGGAAAGAAGAGCAATACTTTAGGCACCAGCTTGGCTGCAGGAGTTGCTGGAAAGAGACATACAAGATGCCATCCAACAGTCTTAGGAACTGGAATTGTGTCGGGTTTACTCCTTAGTCTTTTCTTCTCCTGAAGATGTCCCACAAACCAATTTGTACATATTTTTCCTCAGGGTTTACTCCAGAAGCCTTTAATGTGAATGAATATAGCCACAAGGCAGATTTATTTAATTTTTCAAATGTTTGTAGTGAATTAAGAATTACGGGCTTAAACTCTTCATCCATTTCCTGTCCAATCCAGCTATGGGAGGCTAGAAAAGACTTGGGCTGTTTTCCATGTACACAATAAATGGAACTCAGGTTCCAAATTCTTACCACTATTTTCACCATTGTATTTAAGGCAGTTCCTGAACATGGTCTTCATGTCACCCATAAATTCCTCCTTGGTGTAGTATTGGCCTCCATTTAGCTTCTTCTCCATGCTAGATATATCCATGGGAGCCTGAAAAAATACCCCAGTTTGCGTCAGGCTTACAGACCTTGAAAGCTACAATCATCCTTTAAAAAGATGTATTCTTATTCTGCCTGCTAAATTATGCAGATTCCATTGCATCAACTATAACACAATGTTCAGAATGCAAAAAGGGGTTTCATACTGCTTACCTTAACAATTTGGTAGTAATTTGGGGCATAGGATTCATCAACTGGCTCCAGGAATGGCCAGGAGTCCTTGTGAGCCTTCACTACATCGAGAACTGTCAGCAGCAAAAAGATGATAAACTGTTACACATACAAATGGATGCCAATGTTTTAAAAACCAACCAACCTGCAAAGTTAGTGTCTGGAGTGGGGACTGACCTTTGTACATGGCAGTGAACTCATCATCCAATTCAAAACTGCAAAGAGGAAAGAAATGCAAAATTAATGCAAAGTTTCTCTAGCCTCATTTCCTCCCCAACTCTGTCTCTGGTATGTTATCCTTATCACTGAACATTCAATTCCAGCAACTGCAATGCTTTCCAAGGCCTGCATTCACACTCTTTTTAATGCCACAGAGTATAATTCCTCCATAGCCTTTTCTCCGGCCATCACCATTAACAGTGACAATCAATTGTTTTGGGTGGGATTGTTTTTCTGTATTTATAGGCCACTCACTGCAATTTACTTACAGGTCCTTGGTCTTCCTCTCCTCCCTAGCAGGTGAACTGGGATCCAAGTGAGAAAGCTCTGGGGGAAGTTCCTTTCCCTGGGCAAGCAGCCATGCCCGCTCTTCTCGGAGCTTCCTTCTCTTGGCTCGTTCTGCAGATAGGGAAGAAAAACTGTTACATTCTTGAGAAGTTTTCTTGCACAATGCCCAGGGATTCAGGAGGTCATTCACACTCCTGTGTGTCACCAGTGGAATTATCATGGGGTTGGAGCAACTCCTCTTTGAGGAAAGGTTACAATGTTTGGACCTTTTTAGTTTAGAAAAGGTGAGAAAGTGAGGATATGATAGAGGTGTATAAAATTATGTGTGGTGCAGAGGAAGTAGGTAGAAAGATGTTTTGCTCTCTCTAATATTAGAACTGGAGTCATTCAATGAAACTAAATGGTTAGGGATTCGCGAAATACAAAAACGTACTTCTTTATGCACTGCATGAAATTCACAGCCACAAAATGCAGAAATTAGACAAATTCAAGCAGAATAAGGATGTCAATGAAGCTACCAGCCATGATGACTATATTACTTCTGTCAGACTAAGACAAGCAATCATTGCCATTAAACAACTAAACAGAGTGACATGCTGGTGTACAATGCTTGTGAAGTGAGTATCATGCATATAAAAATAAACTGTAGACCAAGAGCAACTAAAAAACCTTCCATAAAGCTGATCCACCTACCTTCCACTGCCTTGACTTTCTCCTCCATTTCTCGTTTCCTTTCCTCCTTCAACATTTGTTCTTGCTCCTTCTTCTGAACTGCCAGAAGGATTTGACGTTCCTCCTCCTCTTCCCGTCGTCTCTGCTTCTCCATTCTGCTGAGCGCCACAGGAGTCACCTGCAGAAAGAAACACAACTATTTACTTGTTATTTATTATATTTATATCCCATAATTTATGTTAGGTAGGTCAGACTGAGATACAGTGACTTGCCAAAAGTTAACCAGTGAGCTTCAAGGCCGAGTGGAACTTTGAAGACCAGCATCCACAGCCCTAGTGTAACTCTCTATCCATTACAGCACACTGGGTTTTGGCTTATGATTGCCTTACATGAAATTATTGCAATAGCTGATATACATTTGAAGCCCTTTTTTAGCTTTTAGAATCAGACTTGACTCTGAATGAGAAATTGGATCATTTGTACATTTTTAAAACAAGATAATATCATCATAGGAAAGCACCTGCCTGTAATTTTTCTCTTGGTCTTATAAATGTACATCCATGTGATTAAATCAAGGCAAAACTGCAGGAAATGTATTGTTTGCTTTCAATGACTGCATTTCACATGTATGCAGCTTGATTTCAGCACATACAACCACATTTATAAGAATGAATAGTCAGGGAAGGAACATGTGATAATTGCAAAAGGTGCATTAGATGCGCACACACTGTCACATAATGTATACTGGCCTGAAATGGGAAAATAAAGCTATTCTTTACAATGCCACTGCTGCAGCAAATAAGAACCAACTGGGAAGTTATGAGAGGGCAGACTCTGCCACCAAAAATCGCTACAGTCTACATTTAGAATGCTCTGAAGATGCAGACTTTTCTATTTGTATGTTGGAACAGTGAACACAGAAAGAATATATGTGGAACTGAATATTGCATCAGGGATAGGTTCAGAAAGTACTATAAAAATCCAACACTGAACAACTGGGGCTTAGAACAATGCTCAACACAGATGAGTACCTTTCAGGGACCAGTATTACAGATATTTACAATAGCACAAACTACCCCAATCCCAAGCATGAGTGCCTCTTTACCAGGGCAATCTTTTTTGGGGGGAGCACATATGAAATAATTCATATTTGCTCCCCCAAAAAGATTGCCAGAATCTTGTTCAGAGTATGTAAATTATTTGATTGCCTTAAAAGAGCCACTTTATAAGAAGGTAACCATACCACAAGTTTTTGGATGGTCTTTTATCTTCTTTTGGAAAGTGCTTTGCCAAGAAAAGGGATTGGATCACATGTTTACAGCAAAAGGTATCTTCTCTCCCCCCCCCCCAGATGTGTTGAACTTTCACAAAAAGCTTCATGTCCCCGAAACGGCACCTTTCATTATATATATATAATGAGTGTGTTTGTGTATATATGTGTGTGTGTGTGTGTGTGTGTGTATACACACACTCCAAGAAAATTCAGCACAGCCCTATTATTTGTTTGTTTGTTTGTTTGTTTAAAATGTTCTATATCTCACCTAACAATTCCAAGTAATTACTTATATTCTGAAAACTTGCTCTGTGCCTGTAACTTCAATCAAGATTAAAAAACCAGGGGGGAAAATCACAGGCATTAATTAAAACACTATGTAACTTCATAAATATACTAAAAAAACTAGCTAACATAAATTCCTCTCCCCCCCCCCCGGTATTTCACATTAAAAGCATATTTAAAATCAATCCTTTCATCTTCTTCTTAAATATGTGAAGGTTCTGCTGGGCAGCTGGCTCCAGAGGTCACAGCCACAACAGGAAAGTCAATCTTCTATACTTATTTCCTGCCTAGATAGGATCACAATCAGGCCCTCTTCAGTAGATCTTAATGGCCATCTGCCCTTGGCCATTAACAGATTTCAAAGCATCTGAAGCTAACATGCAGTCAGTTTGTGTTGCAGCTATGTTCTGGTCTTCTTGTTCATATTAGGAGTTGGCAGTTGCATTGTGTGCCAATATAGTTTATAAGAGCCATCCTATATACTAGGAATGGCTAACCATTTTGCCCTGATGGCCACTTCCATGTTTAACCAATCCTCCACAGAACGCATGCCAGTAAGTGAGTGTGTTCACTCCACACTCTTGTACACACATTCACGCACTACACAGGACAAACGTGTGCAAGACAAGGGAAACACACAAAGAGCCACAAAGCTCCCCTTTTCAGTTGATCCATATTGATTAGTCAATGAGAAGTTTTGCCTCTTTTCTGCTTATCAAATAACCACCCTGATGCATAATCAAATTGTTTAAACTTCATTGTTCACCCCAGCACTCTATTTTTTTAACTGGTAGGGTCTTGGGAGAGGGGAGTAAAAAATGCATGGAGGCCAGCTCAGGTCCCTGAGATAGGGGTTAGCAAGCCCTGCTATGTAGGGAGCATTATGGAAATTGATTCTACAGACAAAGTTGATAGTTGCCAGAACTCTACAATGTAGGAAATGTTAGTGTTTATATGCAGCAGAGAAAGTTAACTTTAGTTAAATGAATTCTTGCTTGGAGCACACCTTTAGTTGAAAGGCATTCAGACTGAGACATGGTTTAAATAAGAAAGCTTATTGTAAGGAAGTACATTCTAGCTGGAGAAACAAAGAAGCAAAGCTATGCTTGCCCCTTTGTTCCCAGAAGATTGATCCAAGATGACCTCTTGCCTTGAGGTCCAAATAAAGTGTATGAGGAGCAGGAAGTTGTAAATGAAATGCAATACCACTGTAAACATCAAAGAGATAGAGAGAAGTCAACACAGATATAAAGGTACAGTACTACAGGGATAGTCTGGGAAGCTGGAGGTCTCTCGCTCTATCTGTCTTAACCCATGCAAACCCCTCTCAGAAAGCTGAGATGCACCCAAACTTCTCTCCTGGTCTCCTGAGAATATAGGATCAGACAAACTAATTTAAATAAAACATAAACCAGAAACCTTGCTTCAATCCCATTTTAGGAGAGTGGGTTAAAAACCCAATATATATTGGACACAACATGTCTAGTGAGAATGTCAGTTTAGAATTTCATAAGACAGCTTTAGCTTTTAGCCCAGTGCATGCTTCAGCTTTATAGCCTAAAAAATGTGGCATATACGGTAAGTCACTTTAGGGTGGCTGAATGACTGGATGACATTGGAGAATCCACATATCTTAGATTCAGATGGTCATGATAATATTGGAAGCTGGCACGCCTATGAAAAGGTGAAAGTACACAAAGGATTTACAAATCACATAATTAGGAAAAATTTGTAGAGAGTATGGGATAAATACAAAAAATTATTGGAGATAAAAACACCACTTTGACTCTCATAATTGGAAGCCAGTGGTAAAGAAAAAGAATATGATAGGTTGGACAATTTGTAGAAATTTATTAAAACAAGAGGGAGAAGAGTTTAAATTAAAATAATTTAATGATTTATCAGAAAGTTAACAACATGGATACAATATCATTTGAATAAAGTATTTAAGAAAGATAGGAAATGAGGGTTTGGGGAACAAATATCACAACTGGAGAGAGGTCTATTGGAATGCAATGTTAAAGTGCTGTCTAGAATGTGTAAGATATTACTGGAAGGGGAGACAAAGGATGAGCAAGTAAAATCTTCAATGATAGATTAAAGGTAAAGGTAAAGGTACCCCTGACCATTAGGTCCAGTCGTGACCGACTCTGGAGTTGTGCGCTCATCTCACTCTATAGGCCGAGGGAGTCGGCATTTGTCTGCAGACAGCTTCCGGGTCATGTGGCCCGCATGACTAAGCCGCTTCTGGCGAACCACAGCAGCTCACGGAAACGCCGTTTACCTTCCTGCTATTTATCTATTTACCTACTTGCACTTTGACATGCTTTTGAACTGCTAGGTTGGCAGGAGAAGGGACCGAGCAACGGGAGCTCACCCCGTCACGGGGATTTGAACCGCCAACCTTCTGATCGACAAGTCCTAGGCTCTGTGGTTTAACCCACAGCGCCATCCGTGTCCCCAATGATACATTAGGCAATAGATACTGTTATAATATAGATATGGAAGTGTGGGAACGATCGTGGAATATGGATATAAAATTTACAGCATGCTATGGTTTAAGAGAAAACTACATGAAAAAGTTATATAAATGGTATCTAACACCGAGTAAACTGGCAAAAATGTATAAGTCAAAGAGAAAGAAGGTACAGTCGCACCTTGGTTCATGAACACCTTCTGAGTCAAACATTTTGGCTCCTGAATGCCACAAACCCAGAAGTGAGTGTTCCGGTTTGCAAACGTTCTTTGGAACCCGAACGTCTGATGCAGCTTCCGCTCCTGCAGCCAATCAGAAGCTACGCCTTGGTTTCCAAACGTTTTGGAAGTCGAACGGACTTCCAGAATGGATTCTGTTCAACTTCCGAGATACCACTGTACTTTCTACAATATGTGGTGGCCTTGTAGTAAGGTTAAAGCTTACTGTGAAGCTTTTCTTCTGGGAATTATAGGGGTAGAACTAAAACAGTATAGAAATTTATTCATGTATACAACTACAGCGGCAAGAATGTTATTTGCCCCAAAATGGAAAGAAGTCGTCCAGACAAAAGAAGAATGGATACAAAACTTATGACTATGCAGAAATGGCGAAACTTACCAGAAAAATAAGAAATCAAGTTAACAGACTTTTTATAAAAGAATAGAAATGGTTTATTGAATATTTACAAACAAATTGTAAACAGATAAGTTCATTGGCGGGATTATTGTAATAACCTGCAGTTTCATAAGAGTATATAATTAAAAGTAGATGAATATAAGTTAAGTTAATTTAGAATATGCAGGAAATGATAAAAATAATTTTAAGGAACCGCAGTAAGGAGGAAGTAAGTCTAGTTTTGAAATGTTAAAATGACTGTAAAAGTATTGAAATGTATATAACTGAAAATCACAATTATTTTTTTTAAAAAAGACAAAGAGAAAGAAAGGGTGTGACAACTAATTTTTCAGTTTACACTTCAGTTTTCAAACTGAGGGTATGGTATCCAGGTCCTTTAGCTTAACTTCTGTTCCAGGAAAACTGGAAGCAAACATTATTAAAAGCAGAATTACTAAGCACATAGAAGTATAAGTCTTGCTGAACCAGCAAGGGTAACATCTGTTTCACTAACCTTTTAGAATTCTTT